CTCCACTTCGAAGGATCATGTAGAGAGCGACCTGGCTTCACTTGATCTTTCCAACTGGCGCCAAACAGCGAAGAGAAGGGATGAATGGCGCACTATAATTAATTCGGCTATATTCGCATAAGCGGTGTCAACGCCAATATAGAAGGAGAAATATATATATATTACACCGGATTTGAAATAAATCGGACCATGAATACAATGTTTTCGTACAGGTCAGTTCTTGATTCCTTTCCCGGAGAGAAGTGCGGTCTTCCTGTTAATCCAGGCAACAAGCCCCTTTGCATTAAATTTCAAGTAAATCGAACCATAAATACGATTTTTTCGAATAGGTTAGTCCATGGTCCATTTTTTTCGTATAAACCTTCCAAGGAATCATAGAAACAATCTGACGAAATTACAAGTCACTCGGCTGGTATTTTTTTTAAATTACTGGATCTTTCCAAACGGACTAAATTTTTAAAATTAGGAAGAAGATTGGCGTTTCGGTACCGCTGAATTTAAAACCCGGTATTAAGGTTTAACCCTCCATTAAACGGCTCAAACACTTGCTTCTTTGTTTTCATTGTAACACAAATGTTTGTACACATTTGTATCATATGTACATACATATGTGTATATATATATATATATATATATATATATATATATATAATTTATGTATTTATTCGTTTGCCTAAATCCACAGCTGATTATTTTTGGTGATTAATCAGATTGAAATTGACTGGACTTTATTTTTATAGTATATATGTACTCCTTCAATATTGACGTAAGCAGTAGCCACCCCTTCCCATCGTTGCTAGCTACTGTATTTACCACCCGGTCCGAGTTATGTTGACACACAGGGTGCCACATTAAAAATCAGCGACACCTTCAAAGCTACAAATACATGATGCAGTTGTGTGTTTGTATTTGATTGAGGATATATTTTATAAATCCCCATGCAATTAGCGCCTTTTGAGCAAACATACATATACATACACATGTATGTATATACACGTATGTGCATACTTTTGTTAATCATGTTTCATACACTTGTTTTATTAGTAAACTTAATCTTGATTAATTAAATGCGACTTTTATACACACATCGAATTTATCAAAATGTCACATTTGCCTTAAACACCTGATTAGCATTTGCGTGCTCTTTTCAGGCTATTTAACATTTTGTTTTTGTATGCAGCAGCACGAACGGTTCGCGTAAATCAATTCAATTCGACTATGTGAGGCTTCGAAATTTGCTTCGAGCAGAAAACAGAATAACTGCCTACCTAATTCTGTTTACCACTCTGTATGTACATATGTATATCCACATTAAAAAAATAAACGGTATAAACAATTAATAAAATTGTAAATGGCGACTTGGCCTTTGAACTGATTGCCTTACATAAGTGTGGCTTCGATCTTGAAATATTGGAAATACTCGCGAAAAAAGGATTAGAGCACATCCTTAGACAGCACGAAAAAGAGCTACCTCCGCGCCGCTAACTATACAATAGGTATCCCCGCAAAACGTAAACTACACAGCCGTTCTTCGAGTCGTCTATACTAAACGGAGTTTCAAGCAATGTGACTCTTTATCCTGTGACTGTTATAACTGATACTGTGAGCGAAATTGATATGAGCTGCAGGGCGTAACATGTAAGATATTATATTCTATAGGAGCGTACAGTTGCTGGGGTATGCCGATTATATTGAATAATTAGGCTCAACAAGCGTTCCGTAAGTTCTGCTTTCTTCAGACAAGATAAAGAAAAGAAGCGTATGCCTCTGGTCTGGAATGAGAACTAATTGAAATGTCTGCTGTCGGCAAACAAATAGTCAATACACTTGCGTGTTGGCGGTCATCATGGATCAGCTTAGGCTCTAAAAATCAACTGACTCTAACAGGCCTATTCTCACTGTTAACGGTGAAGTAAATTTTGTTACTTTTCTTTAACATCCGAAATTGTATTTGGTATTCTGGCGAACTGGTTACAATGTTTGAAACAACTTTGGCAGCACTGTTTTTTTCGACCACGTCAAATTACATTTGCCAGTTGTTAAAGTAATAAATAAGAAAATTCACATCGACATGGAAGACGGTGAACAACAAAATAAATTAGTGTTATTTTCTAGTTTATTAAATTATAAATATTTGAACTTAATTTTGGAAAATATACCTAACGACAAAATAAAAGCTGAATGAAAACGCCACGTTCCAAATAAAAAGGGTAATTTTTTTCGCGCTAACTTCTTAGCAATCGCCTTTTTACACTTTTTTCTTCATATTCAATGAATTGCAAGCCTAAAATATGCCTGCCCATTTTGGTTTTTTATTTTTTCTCAAATTTACAACACTACTATTTCGCTGGTCACAAAATTTACAGGGTAACAGTGAGCTCAGAATACGAAATGGTAACAAAATTTACTGAATGGTAAATTTGAATACCAAAGTAAATTTTGTTACCTCGACAGAATAAGCCTATAAGTGCATTACTAGTAACCAAATTATACCAATTTTAAACTTTTAATGCACATTAGTGAGTTACATGATTATTCTTGCTAAAATTAAATATCCTTTGTAAAAAAAAATTCTCAGCTAAGTTACATATGCAATGTTTTGAAAATAGAGCGAGTGTAAAATCAAACTGAGAACATTAATACACATTCCGCCAACTGGTGCCATCGCGTCTGGTCTACAAACAATCCAATTTCTCTACATCTAAGCGACAGCGAAGAAAATCTGATGCTAAATTTATCATTATATCAAAGGAAACCTATCAATACATTCCTCCTTCGCGTCCTCGCCTTTTTAATTGAGAAGCGTATGAAGAACCCCCACAAAGCGTTAAATTCTTTATTGCACTCACGGAATGCCACACAAAGCACAATTAACATCACAATTTGTTACGAAGTTCATTAATTTCAGAAATTTAATATTTTAAATTTTAGATTTCCTATACATACTTTTTAGATTGATATTAAATACTTATTTACATACATATGTACATACCAACCTTGTGCGTAGTCACTCACATTCACCTAAAATTTTCTTAAACCTGACATCTGCTTACGATGTGTAGATCAACAGTTCCTCAATCCTCAGTTCTTTATAAGCTACTCAATATTTGTTGTTTTAGTGATGGAATGATTGATTAAGTCGAACTAAAAACTGTTAAATGAGTCACGCTTAAAGTACCATAAATTACTTTCGGGAAATCGAAATGATACGCAACAATGATCGGTCTCATATATAGGTATGTACATACATACATATGTATAAATTTATATGAAAATGTATACACGTATGCATATACATGTGCAGTTCACACATACGAGTATATATGAATTTTTTTTTTGAAATCTTAGCTTAAGCTAATTCTAAGCTAAACTGAGTTTGAGTTTTTCGAGAGTGTAAAAAGTTCTTTGCATTGCAATTATATTATTCTTCTTCTTTATTCATTTTGTTGCTCCTCTAAGCCGATGTCGCCAATTGGAGACACCTAATGAAACCAGGTTTTTCTCCACCTGATCTTCCAGTTCCTTTGCTTCCACTAGCGGGTGCTGTGTTTGCCTTTCAAAGCTGAACGTATCCGCTGTCTCATTCTACGCTGAACTATCTCAATATGTCGCCGAATATCTCGTACAGATCAACGGTATTTGTCGTAGCCAATGTACAAAGGTACACAACTCGTTCCCAAAACCGCCGACTTATGGGAGCTACCAAGATACCAAAATGATAAACAACTTATAGAGAGTTTAGTTTTTGTTCGTCGAAACACCCATTTTATTTATCATTGTTCTAATAAGTCCAAGGTAGCAGCTGCTGGCAAGAATTATCTACGACTTCGAAATTATGACTGTCAACTGTGACATTGGAGCTAAATTGGATTTTCCTGATTCTTTGATGACAAAAGATATTTCGCCTTGTCCTGTTAAGAGGAACCAGAACTAACAGCGCGGTTGTTGAGGACAGTTGTACGTCCTTAACTGTTTAGCTGTGTAGCTCGTACAGCTTCAATGTGTGAAATATCTGGTTTGGCGAGCTTTTCGATCCGGCAACAGCCAAGTAGCTTGAAGAATTTTCTTTTGCAGGAGTCTACTACTGCAAATAACCATTTTTCGATCACCGCCGAAGTCGTTCAACCTCAACGAATTTGGGGATATTTTATTACGGGTGCTGAATTTTCGACTGTTGTGCCGAATATACTTTCTTTGTAAATCTTGGCATAAAAGTCGCCAGGCAATATTTCGACGCCGTGTTAATGTTTTCCGCAATGCAGCTCTCTGATACAATTGCTTATCTGTCTCTACGCTCCGGCGGATAAGAAAGCTGATAGGCGCCTACTATATCTGCATGCATGGAACATAGAAAAGCGAAATATTGTTGTTTGTAGTATTGGATTCCGGCATAAAAACATTCAGCCAAGTGGTTTTTGGGTCGAGAAACTCGTAAGGGACTCATCCTTGCCATATGTGCTAACCGTCAAAATGGCTTTGCTAAATCTCTTTTCAACGACTAGTATCGTAAGATGGCGAAAATACCAAATTCGAATAACAGATTAAAATGAGATACTCTTAACTAAAGCATGTTCCAGAGCACGATTTTCAAATGTTCAATGTGTTGTAAGAATATATCTCAAGATATTTCCTAAGCTAAGTATGAGCAATTAGTAACGTATTTAAGAGAGCGACCAACACAGCAGTTATTCGGTTACATAGTGAACTCGTTGGTGACAACATTGGTGAAGATATGGTTTGAATGTTCGATAGCGAAAATTCGCGCTCTAGTTATTGTTCTCTGCTTCTTACCTAACCTTCGTATTTCGTATTTTCCGAGTACATAAATCATTTTAAAGTTTTAAATAAGTTTAAAATTAAAATTTACCTACTTTCTCCACACCAAAAACAAAGAAAGATGTGCCGATAAAGTAGTAAACTTAAAATATTTTATACAGAAATGCTTTGTCCGGTGTGAGTATTGGATCAGTACATTAAAAAATTGGCTTGGCAATACTTTCTCGAAGCCAGCTGACTAAATATGTCATTTTAAATCTGAGTTTGCGCGATAATTACCGGTGTTAGCTTGTTAAAAACTATTGATTTGTTTTACGTTATTTTTGTTAAACAAAACGTAACTAATTAAAATGCAACGTGTAAGTTTTTCATTGTTAAACTCGAAATATTGTTAATATTCAATAACCACTCTTCATCTCTAATCGTTATTGTAGGACATAAGATCTTTCTATAAAACTGCTGGTCAACCAAAGAAAGTGGAAGCTTCCAAGGATGATGAGGAATTGCAGAATAGTAAGCAGAAGAAACGAACTGCCAGAGTTATTTCGAGTGATGAAGATGAAGTATTAGAGAGTTCTCGAGCTAAAGGAACACCCGCAAAGAAAAAACGTATATCAGAAAAATCTCCACGCGAGAATAAACCGCAAAATAAAAAACCATCACTATCAAAATTAAAAAGCACCCCAACAAAAAATCTAAAGCCAGTTGATCCCAATTCACTCTTTGGTGGGGAAACCTTACGTATTGAAGCTAAGAAACCGCCGCCTCCAAAGGTAGAGGCAGCAAAAGAGTTGGAGGATGACGAAATCGACAAAAGTCTCATGGAAGTTGATCTGGACGAGAGTATAAAAATAGCCAAAGAACAGCAAATCAAAACGCCAGAGAAAGGGTATTCCAAATCAAAAACTCCACATAAAAGTCCCCGTAAAGAGGACAGTACGCCAAGTAATAAGGAGAAAAAAGTCGACAAAGTCGCATCAAAGAAAGCTAATCAAGAAAAAGAACATCTCAACGAAGATAAAGTTGACAATGCACAAACTAAAACTGAGAAAAAAAAGGAAAAAAGTACACCGAAAGCCAAGAAGAAGCAACACGAAGACTTGGAAAGCAGTAAGTGAATATCCTCCTACTAGCTTAATATAATCTCGAATAAACATTTTAATTTTAGGTATTCTGTCGGACGAAGATCGTCATGAACGCAAACGTATGTCGGCCATTCTTTACCAGAAGTATAAAAATCGTGCGAGTGTTATAAATCCAGGATGTAAGGAAGTCCCAAAGGTATAGTTGTTGACTATCTATATGTTCTTCGCTGAATGCATTTAAAACCTTTTATGTAGGGCACACCGAATTGCCTAGCTGGACTAACGTTCCTCATTACTGGAGTGTTGGAATCGCTTGAACGCGATGAAGCGGCCTCAATAATAAAAGAGTTGGGTGGTAAAATGATGACTACCGTGGGTAAAAGACTAAACTACTTAATTGTTGGTGAGGAAGCAGGCCCAAAGAAATTGGTGCAAGCAGAAGAATTTGGTGTGCATGTTTTAAGTGAAGATGGCCTCCTCGACTTAATTAGAGAAAAATCAGGGGACCTCCCAAAGAAAGGAGTAAAGGAAGAAAAGGGGAATGAGCTAATCGCGGTAAGTAAGAGCCCCCATAAGAAGAAAAATAAAAATCACGTTGAAGAGCAAAATCCAAAAGATAACTTTACAAAACAAAACGAAAATACTGAAAAAGATGCCAAGAAAAGTAAAAATACTGTTAAGATCGAGACCTCGGGAAGAATTGAAACAGGGCTTAAGCAACTTAGTTCTCCAACCGAAGACACCAAAGTAAATGTAAAAATAGAAATAAAAAATAACGATTTAATAGAAAGCAGCGTTGAAGTAAAACAGAAAGTGGATGACACAATGCTTCCATGGGTAGACAAATATAAACCAATGAATCTGAATGAAATTGTTGGACAATTCGGACCATCTAGTAATGTCTCAAAGTAATTACAAATTTTTCAAGTTTCAATTATAGAAATCAAACTAACCACTTTCTCTATAATTTTCATTAAGGTTGAAAAACTGGCTTTCTAAGTGGTATATTAACCATGATGGCAAAAAGAAACTCCAAAAACCAAATCCTTGGGCTAAAAATGATGACGGTAGCTTTTATAAAGCAGCATTGCTATCAGGACCTCCTGGAATTGGTAAAACTACCACGGCTACTCTAGTTTGCAAGGAATTGGGTTTTGACACAGTTGAGTTCAATGCATCAGATACGCGCAGCAAGCGGCTTCTGAAGGAAGAAGTAGCTGAACTCTTATCCAATAAATCTCTCTACGGCTACTTTCATGGTCAAGGTAAAACAGTAACCAAAAAGCATGTACTTCTAATGGACGAAGTCGATGGAATGGCTGGTAATGAGGATCGAGGTGGAATTCAGGAACTAATTGCATTGATAAAAGATTCTTCAGTGCCAATTATTTGCATGTGTAATGATCGTAATCATCAAAAAATGCGTTCACTTGTCAACTATTGCTATGATCTGCGTTTCAATAAACCGCGAATGCAACAGATCAAGGGACGCATTTTAAGTATATGTTGTAAAGAAGGATTCAAGATTGATAACGATAAGGTGGAGGAAATAATTGAAGCAACGAATAATGATATACGTCAATCGATAAATCATATTTCACTATTGAGCGCTGGCAAGCATTTGAAACTGCCATCTAAGAACGGAAATGGTATTAGCAAAACGGCGGAGAAAGACTTGAAAATGGTATTTTATATACCTTTTATTCTAAGTACTTTTAATTATTGATCATGTGTTACAGGGTCCTTGGGAGGTAGTGCGCAAAGTATTTTCCGCAGATGAGCATAAGAAGATGTCGCTAAATGATAAATGTGATTTATTTTTTCAAGATTACAGCTTGGGACCATTGTTTGTTCAACAAAATTATTTGCAAGTGTCACCACAGGGTTCCAAGTAAGAACTCAGGATTTATTTCTACACAATCGCCTAAAATGCCGAAAACTTTTTTTTTGCAGGTCAGATATTCCATCTAAGGTTGCTCTTACAGCTGATGCTTTAAGTTTGGGTGATTTAGTAGACAAGCGCATACGTTCCAATTCCGCTTGGTCTCTGCTACCGACACAATCGGTGTTTAGTTCAGTATTGCCTGGGGAATACATGAGTGGTAACTTCATTGGACAAATAAATTTCCCTGGCTGGTTGGGCAAAAATTCACGGAATAGCAAACGAAGTCGTCTAGCTCAAGAAATTCATGACCACACTCGTTTACGAACTTCTGCCTCGCGTCAATCCATACGCCTTGACTATGCACCGTTTTTATTAGAAAAAATCGTACGCCCACTAAGGGATTTGGGGATGGAAGGAGTAAAACCGTCACTGGACGTACTGAAAGAATACCATTTGCTGCGAGAGGATATTGATGCTCTGGTCGAGCTTACAACTTGGCCCGGCAAGAAGGGGCCTATGGAAGCAGTAGATGGGCGTGTAAAAGCGGCCTTAACTCGCACTTATAATAAGGAAGTGCTTGCATATGCGTATTCTGCAAATGTAGGAGTTAAGAAGAAAAAATCGGAGGCAAATGATGAAAATGAGCTGTATGGCGAGGACGGCGAGGAAGTAGGCGATGCTGCACAGTCAGATGAGGATGATGATAAAATTGAAAACGATGGTTTAATTAAGGTAAGTTAGTTCTATTAAGTTTAATTGGTTCAAAATAAAACATCTGATAATTTAGGCAAGGAAACATTCTGATAAAGCCACAACATCGAAAGCTAAACCATCTTCAATGGCCAAAACAACTGGAAGTGGTACTACAAATAAAAAATCTACATCTAAAGCGTCTTCCACAAAAACAAAGAAGTAAAATGGAAGAACAAATATACTTTTTGTTAACAGTGAATTATACAAGAATTGCATTGTGATTTATTAATTCTCATCTCTTTCTGAAAAATATATTTAGTATCGCACATTATATAAATATTTTTTATAATTAATAGTACAGTTTTTTATGCTACATTTACCGTGGCGTCGTTTTCATCGTGGGGTAATTCTACATTAACTGCTTGCAAAGCCTCTCTTATCCACAACGGCACCGTTTCTCCTTCAAAATGTTTGGCCATAAAATCGCAGACAAATTGCGGAAACTGATCGCGTAGTATTGCTTCTCTCATACTTCGCATTAACCTTAATTGATACGCCACATTATGTATACTTAACAAACTACACGATACTGATTGACTTGTTGCAATATGATGCAAATAAGAACGAGTGTATCTGCGACATGTACTACACTCACATTCTTCGTCGATGGGACGCATATCATCCTCATACTTTTTGTTTTTCAAATTTAATTGTCCAGTGTTCACCAACGCACAACCGAATCGCGCCGTGCGAGTTGGAAAAACACAATCAAACATGTCGATTCCTAATGCAACACATACCACTAGGTCGGCAGCGAACCCAACTCCCATTAAATATCTTGGTTTTTCTTTCGGAAGTAAATCCGTACATAAATTAACTGTACGCCAGAATTCATGTTTGCTTTCACCGCCACTTAAACCACCCACCGCATATCCACGTACTTTACGCTGTATTAATGCATCAGCACACTGTTTACGTAAATTGGCATCTAGAGCTCCTTGTACAATTGGGAATAAACTCTGATCATCATCTCGTGCATGTGCTGTTATGCATCGATCCAGCCAACGGATGGTACGATGCATAGCCTCTTCCACACGTGGTCCGACGGTGGTGGTCTTCACTACATCATCTAATTGCATCATAATGTCTGCACCAATAGTATTTTGAATTTGTATGGAATGTTCAGGTGTTAACATACATTCACTATTATCGAATGGAGAGCAGAAGTTTACGCCATTCTCATCTATTTCTGCTAACTTTAATAATGAAACCATTTGAAAACCACCCGAATCAGTTAAGATGTTGCGAGGCCATCCCATGAAATTATGCAAGCCACCAGCTTTTTGAAGTGTTTCAATACCAGGTCGAATGCCCAGATGATATGTGTTTCCCAACAATATTTGACAGTTAAGCTCAATAAGTTGATCCGGAAGGAGTCCTTTAAGAGTGCCCTAAGTATATATTAAAAGATATTAATGTCATTCAAATCAAATTTCTTGTGCGACTTACCTGCGTCCCGACAGGCATGAAAACTGGCGTATTGACTTCGCCATGGCGAAGTGTCATGAGGCCAGCTCGCGCTTTTGTAACAGAGCATTCTGCAATTACTTTGTATGATAGAGGAGGCACTTTACTAGTCATATTGACTAAACTTTACTAGGTAAATTATGAAAACAAAAAACAAGGTCCGTAGAACTTGAATTCCACCAGAACTTGTAAATATTTACAGTTATTTTTTTCGTTTAGATGTAAAATACACTTGTAATTTTAAAAATTATGGCAAGAAACTTCTAAAGGATCCCTATTATTTTTATTTAAGATTGTATTTCCTGCATTATGTACATTGTACAGCCGCCAAAGTAAGAAGATTTATCGTCTGTTTCCGGTTTGAACTAACAGCTGTGATCACCGATTATGTTTTTTTTATATGAGTTGTCATTCGTGGCTACATCTCACTTTAAAGCGCAGAGTCGCATGAATATCTCGAAAATCAATTAAAGGGAAAAAAAGCGGACGAGGAAGCAAACAAAGGAGTTTCTGCAATATTGCGAAGTATGGAAAAATTTTGTCTTTTTTTGTTAGTTGATGTAAATTCTTCAACCTTTAGATATGTTGCTGTTGTTGCAGAGTATGGTGAAATAAACTATCAACTGTTTTGACTTATTCAATTCCGTTAAATTGGGAACTCCATTGTACTACATTTTATGATTGGTTTTATTAAAAAATGTATCATTCATCATTTTTAGCTTTTCCTCTTTTCCTACTACTTTTTTTATAACAAAACCCTGTTGAAATATTTTATTTTCGAATGTTTTGGCAGAGAACGTAATATTATTCTACGCTCTCTGAATATACGTTCACTGTAAAAAGTAAACTTAAGAATACGTTTAAACTGTTTTGGGTCCACAGCTAGTATATTTTTTTAATTTGTTATTATTGCCAAAAATTTGCCAACTGTTAATATGAATTCTTTTAATGGCGGTGACTCCTCTGCAGAAGATGGTAGCGTTGACAGTAATGTATTGTATTGGCTGAAAGTCATATATAAATAAATAAATATGTTAATTTATATAGATTGGACAGATTCTGAGGCAGATGAGGAGTCCAACAACGACTACACTGCCTTCAACGCCAGGTACATGGATGAAATTACAAATATTCTCAGCTTCAACAATCAGGTTAATTGCGACAATGCTTTGGAATTAAATAAGGAAATGCAACAGCGATTACAAGAAGTGCGAAAACGTTTGCAAAGTCTTCTGCATTCGGTGCAAGAGCGATACCTTTTAAACGAGCAACGTTTAAAGTTAAATGTAGAAAAAAAACAAAAAGGGTTTGGAATGCGCGGAGCATATCTCAAAGGAGGGACCTTCTTTTTCAAAGGAAATATGTTTTTCAAAGATCTTAAATGCCGAAATTGCCCAAATAATCAGGACTATGAGCATCGCAGGAATATTGAAGGAGAAATGTTTCCTATGGACTTTGAGCTATGTAGCCGTCATGTTTGGTCTTTGATTGATAAACAGGCCGTGGTGCAAGCTGTAAAAGAGCAGGTGGGTAAGCAGATTTTTTATCTGGTTCACTGTATGCAGCCTTTGTGTTCAAATTTTTACAGGTCATTGATTATTTAACTGATCGCAAATTCCGTGATAAAAATAGCAAAATAAAAAGGGTTCAATTAGATATACAAGTGCATACAGAGAAATTGGCCAATCTTCTTACACAAGTGGACGAGAAGTTTGAAATAGACTGGGAGCAAGTTTCAGCTCATAACTTAAAATATCGACACTCACCCAGCAGTTGCAAGGCTATGTGGCAAGTATACTTGCATCCCTCTCTCAAACGAAGTGCATGGACTGATGAAGAGAATAAACGACTCTTACATATAGCACAAAAGCATAATTACCAAAACTGGGAGAGTATTGCAAAATCAGTAACGAAACGTTCTGACTATCAATGCTTTATTCAGTATCAGACGTCCGTTTGTTTTATGGATACACAACGTTGGGGACGCTGGGATAAACGTGATGACAAAAAGCTTCTCGAATTAATTCTGAAAAAAACGATAAACGGTGTTATAGATTGGAATGCAGTAGCTTCTTATTTTCCACATAAACCGAAAAAATCACTCCATCAGCGTTACATATACTACTTGGATCCAAAGATAAGTCATGGTAAAGTTCTCAATATATTTTAATCAATTTACATAATATATAATGTGTTTCTTCGTCGTTTTCAGAACCATTTACAGCCGAAGAAGATCTTATTTTATTAGCTGCAGTAGAAGAATATGGTGAAAAATTTGCATTATTTCCGCGTACACTTTTTCCAAATCGTTCTATAACCCAGCTTCGAATGCGTTACAAGAACACACTTCAAACGCGTCATATGCTAACACCCTGGTCAGTAGAGGACGATAAGAAACTTATGGAATTTATTTCCGAACACGGCACATCAGCTTGGTTGCGTTGTGCTGAATCACTTGGCAATCACAATCGTATTAGCTGTCGTACACGCTTCCTTACTATAAAGAAGTTTTTTGAGAAGAATCCTGAAGCGACAATCGATGACATTCCTAGAAAAAAAACTTGTATAATGAAGAATAGTGTTATTACAAAGCAAAACTGGGTAGATAAGGTTGCAGAGCTGCGAGAGAACCCCGATACCGTGCTTGTACCTATGAACCGTAGATTTAAACAAAATAAAAATAAGAAAGTAAAGATTAAAAAAGGGGAATTACTTTCACCGGAGGGTCCACCAAAATGTACGGTGCAATCTGCAAGGGTGATAGAGGTGAAAAATCGGAAACAACCATATGTAGAACGTTTGCGTGCTGTTGAACAAAAGCTCTATCATTTCTTTAAGTATACATACAATTTCAAACTAGGCACTGATGTGTGCAACAAAGCACCAAATCAATTCTTGCGTATAGTATCAAAAATGCTCGTTTTTAAAGCGGATCCAACACGACCCTATATTGCAGATAATATACTGTCTCATTATATAGGGAGACGTTGCAAATTTCACCTACAGCACGAAAGTCTAACAACGAGCGATGACTGTAGTAAACCCTTCAACTGTACACTACCGCCAAGCTGGTCTACAGCAATGGGATTCCGGGCACTTTGCGTGCAATCTGCAGAATCGCAAATAGAGGATTTAAGAAATGATAATGCGGAGGAGCGAAAGCCAAGTGAATTTGACAGAAGCTTGGCGGTGCAGCGATTCCGTAAACGAATGCATACTTTATTTTACCAAACAGCCTTATTGAGTCGTTTGGAACCCGCGCATTTTACAGAACTAACAAAAATCCCAGCGCCACCGCCAACATTTACGACTGTAACAGATTTGACGCCTGAAGACTTCTTCGAAGATACCAGCACTTCCGTCGTTGAAAATGAAGCAGAAGTACCAATATTTGATTTGAATCGGGTGAAAACGGAGGAACCATCCGAATATGCGGCCAACAGCGAATCAACCTCGAAAAAGCAATGTAAGCAAGGGAGGCCAACCAAATTGAATAGTAGAAAAAGAAAAATGAAAACATTACCTGTAGCAACACAACGCGCAGCAGTCAAGTATACTGGAAACGGGGTTGGGCTGGAGGACAATGCAACTGGCTCGACTTACAAATCGCCAGAAACGCAACCAATTCTGCATTTGCATAACATCAAACAAGAGTGTCAAGCGCACACCGCTCTGTTGCAGCAATGTTCACTGCACACACCGTCGGAAGAACCCGCAGAGAAACGCGTTTACGTTGATACAAATTGTAATAGATCGGATGTTAGTTCGCCAACTATAAAGACTGAATTTGAACTGTAGTATATATAAAGAGCTGTCAAATATGTATATAGAAATGTATAATATGTAAAACAAGTGAATATGCTTAAAATGTCGAGGAACGTTAAACATACATAATACATACATTTGTTGATTGCTTGAAATTTTTTTTATCAGTTAATCGGGATTTGAAATTCCATTGAACTCATATTTCAATATACACATATACAAAGATGCATATGCAATTATAATGTAGATATTATGTGAATATTTTGTCGTAAATTAAATATTTTTATTAACAAAAACAACAAAATATTCAAAAATGAAACCTTGGTTTTATTGAAGAACCTACAATGCCACAAATTAGAAGCGTATTCGTGTTCATTACTGTTTGCACCTGATTATATAGAATCCACTCGCTGCGTCTACTTGTTCATATAGGTAAAAGCTGAACTGAAGGTGTTGAGGTCAATGAAAAGTTGATTGAATTCCCATATAATTTTTTGGGCGTCAAGAGCCAGCCCTTGATTTCAATCACCTCTTCTGTTGCTTCACTCTTCAACCCGCTGTGTGATTAGATTTCTTTCTTGGTAGCGATCAAACTGCCGAAAAAACAATTAATCATTTAAGTTTTTATTGGATCTCAAATATTACTGCTCTGGCGGGTATAAGAAAGATGCCATGAATCTCCGAGTTCAGTGTTGCTGTTGTAGCGGATAATCAACCCCGCTTCAGAGCAGCGAGACTAGTTATCCAGGTCATCTATCGTGTTGTTCGGAAAAGGAGCCCTTTCGACGGGGTCGGACCAAAAGTAAAAGCAGGTTAGATGAGTAGATTTTAAGCTTCATGTGGCACGATTCTACGCATCGGAGTCACTCTCTCGGCTATCTAACCCCGTTTAGGTCATCTTGTAATACCCAGACTGTAGTCGGCTACAGCGGTTTTTTTCAATCAAAAATAACTTTGAAAATATGCATATTTATGAATTTCGCAATTAGTTTGTGTGATTATACTTTATTCAACTTTTAATTCTTTATATGTATGTATATGTGATGAAGTTATTAAAGACTCACATAAAATTCGTTTTGAATTTATAATTCTTAATTAATTGCCTTCATGATGCGAATAACCGTTAAGTTCGTTTCATTTCCTTCTTTTGTATACAATACACTACATTCCACACTTTAACTATTACATTACATTAAGTTTTTACGCAAAAGATACAAATTTAAATTTAAAATAAAATGTGTGTTAGTACTTATTAGATATTGTATACTGCGTTATATGTATGTACGTATGCACAGAAATGTTTGCATTATTTGTTTCTGCTGTACACCAGTATTTGCAGGTAAGTGTTAGTTTGTATACTTTAATTTTCTATCTGTTAATTTAGGCTATACAAGAGTGTTAACTTAAACACTTTGACGCCGTGTTTTGACCGTCAAGTGGAAATTAGTATTTAGACAAATAAATAGAAGACTTTTGCAGCAAAAGCAAAACCTTTATTATTATTATTATTATTCAATGTGTGCTTTAATAATTTACTGTGCTAATGCAAATGCCTTTAAAAATTATACATATTCCAACAACCTCCAGGCATTTCCAGCTCAAATCCATTTACTGTGTAGTTGGAAGATGTTTGGAATTTACTGCAATCGTTACGGTCATAAACCAACTAGTTGTTGCCGTCCACAACTAATTTATTTACTGAAAATTGCTGAAATCCGTCTTCAATTTAATGGTCGGCTTTTGCGACTTTGCCATGCCCCCGCGTGCCTGCAACTCACTTGCCTTATTGGCAATGTTAATCGACTGTTGTTGGTTGCGTATTGCGGCCTCGAGTTTCTGCCGCAGCTCTAGAGTTTGGCCCATCAAAGTTTTGAACTCCTGTGGATATTTCGGGCCGATCTTCATTAGCCACTGTAGAGATTGTTCGTGTAACTGCCGTTGGTATTTGGGTAAAGTTCGCAGTTTCGTTGGCTCGGCCAAGAAGTTTATGAGTACAGGCACAAGTAGTGTTAACATTTGAATGCCTGCAAGATGGGATAACAGTTTTAAAAGTATATGTATAAAATGAAATAGATTTATTAGTTCAATTAAACATATTTATGTACATATGTATGCACTTTTTTTACATCTTATATTGAACTATTGAAAATGTGCACCGATAACGATAAAAAAAAACATTTGTATGTATGCGCAGTACGAGTTGAAGTGATGCCTGAGTTAACTAAAAGATACTCATGCAATGGCTTCAATTATATTCACGGCAACCGATACAATTTAGGAATTAAGTGACTTAGAACATGCACATAAACAGACATAGTGCATATTTTACACCCAGTATATAGATACATATGTATGTGTGTAATACTAAAAAATATAATTTCCTTGAAATAGTAACAAATACCCGTTCCACTTCCGCATGAGGAGGTAGGAAAGGAACACTTCGTGAGTTCGAGCTATTTTCAGACCTTTAAACGAAAAACATATGCAACGACAAGGACCGTGTCTTCCCAACTTTTGGCTTTGCTTCGTTTAGAAATTAACAGCAGAGTTTAGCCTCAAAACTATGAAAAAATTAGTTTTTATTGGAGGATATTTTACATGGCGTTTAAGCAGCTCACGATTTATGGCCTTAGGTCACGTATACTTTAGATAGTCAATAAACATCCGTTTGGAGACGAACTAAAGTGACGCCGGACAATACCAGAAGTGTAGTCACAATTGGAAAGGACCTCTTCGGGTCGTTCGGTACTAAAAGATTTTTCAGGCAGAGTGAATCTTTATCGTTTGATTTCTTCTATGTGATGCTGGAGAAAATATTAAGAGCTGTATAGCTAACAATAAAAGGTACATTCTTTTACCAGAGTGTTGGCATATGCCGACGATATTGATATTATAGACCTTAACAACCGCGCCGTTAGTTCTGCTTTCTCTAGGCTTGAAAAAGAAGCGAAGCGAATGGGTGAATGAGGGCAGAGCGAAGGATCTTCTGTCATCAAACAAACAGGCGGCCCACTAGCGTCTTGGAACCCAATTCCCCGTTTATAGTTATAACTTTGAGGTCGTAGACAGCTTCGTCTATCTAGAGATCATCATTAGCACCCATGCTAGCAGGTGCTCCTTCGGGTTGAGTAGGCAACTGAGAAATAAAGTCCGTGTAGGAATCAACTTTAACATTTTTAACTTACAATTTTTAATTTTTAAATAAACATAATGTCACTGATTTTTTTAATTTCAAATATTTTCATTTTTCTGATACATTATAATTTTCATTTTCAAATAGAAAACTGATGTTAAATAAATTTTATTTAAAAAATAAAATATTAAAGTTTATATTTCAAAATATAGAAACTAAGTATTCTATAGTCCCCCCTTGACGAACCAAAACCAAACTTTACATGTCCCTCATGTGGACGATGCCGATGGACGGATGGTGAGGTGAATGATTTATACGGCGACTTTGGCATGGCTCAGCAAATAAAGAGACATCCGAATGAATGAAAGGACTCCAGAAAGCATTCGATGCAGCACCCGCTGGTGAAAGCACATGAAGGGGAAAACCTTCAATCTTCTGAACGGATCACATGAAAGGCGATCTGGTTTCACTTGGCATTTTCAACTGCAAGAAGACGACTAAAATGCACAGTCGCTTTACAGTCAGAAAAGAAATGGCATGGAGTATTGTAATAAGTGCGTAGGGCGCAACAGGCCTAAGACCCCAGATATCGTTTTTTATATTTTTAATCCAACATTAAATATATACGTGTATGATGGATCACAATTCTGATCTTCGGTAACGACACCCAGCGAAAGAAAATTTTTGGGTTCCCGACTAATGTCGTTGAGGTCATCATGAGCAGACAAGTAAAGAGGTGTCTAAGGGGGTTAAATAGGAGTTTAATTTGCCACAAAGACCTTAACTGTGCAAAAATGACACAACTCGAGCCTTTGGTAAGCAGTGCATGGCGCTCATACACCGATTACGGAATCCACGCTATGCTTGACGATCCTAGTCAAGAGCGATGACGATGAAATGGAGGAGGAATACTCCTTAGTCATGATAAATTCACTAATTGATCTTTGACAGGGCAAACAACAGAGTCAATGCTTCCACCTTGTTCCTATTGAACACAGTCAAGTTCAGTGAGCGAAGCGACAGTTGCCCTGAAAGGTAACACAGAATCAATCTTCCTTGGGACGCTGTAGCCAATGACGGTGGAACGAGCTGCATATGATCTACCACATTGAAAAAAATTAAAAGGCAGTAATAACTAAGTGCGATTTCGATTTCATTGAAATATTGCTGATTTTTGCAGTAAAGCCTTAACTTTCAGCATGCAAACAAAAAAGAGTTATAAATAGTGTTGAAATAAAAAGATAGACACTAAGAAACATTAAATTGTGCATGAGTAGTGGAGGAAGGCGATATGGTGATCTAGAGAGAGATAGAGAGAGAGAGATAGTAAATATATTTGTGCTTTAAGCGGACAGCCAATTTGTTTTGATGGTGCAGTAGCTAAAAGTCGATACTGTATTGTAGATCGGTAAAGATGCAGCATAGTTTATGTATAATGTATATCTGTATGTATGTATTGTATATAGACATTGAGTCCCATGAGTAAATATACTTAGTAAGCATTTTTAGCTGTGAATGAGTTATATTTATTGAGCTTTTGATCATGTATGGTAATTACCTTGCATCAGGTTTCCTATAGATAGATTTTCAAATGTAAGTTACAACGCAACAACGGGGTGTTGATTTCAAATAAATTAATAATTTTGTTTTTTTTTTTCGTTTTCAATGGGATATGGTTGTGTAATTTTTGGAATGCATTTTAAAAGAGAAAAGAGGGATAAATAGAAAAAAGGAAAATAATTTTATTTAATACAATAACTTTCAAAAGACTTTCTGTTAGGGTCAGTCATCTATGAAAATGTATGAATTTCAGGAAAATGATTTCGATACTAACTTTTTATAAAGTGGATAGGTATAAACGAAAAATACCAAAATCGTTGTGTTTGAAACACGAAAACTTAATGACAAAGATAACAAACTGTTATTTGTTAACTAACGGTTTTGTAATCAATATAAAAACATACTTAAAATGTTCACTAATTAAGGCGAACTGAAACCAATTACGTGTATATAAAAAGTAAATAAATTTAAAAGCGAGACATTTTACTTACGATTCTGTGGCTCCGCCAATTCGATCAACGTCTCCACGGTCAATATGCTCTCGAGCGTTATCTGCAACTCTATGTCAGTGCGTGGCGTTTTCGCAGTCTCCGCATATAAGCCCTCAATTATGCGTGGCGCCAATGCGTGTATGTAGGGTGTGGATATTTTAAGATCGGCTTTTGCAAATATCGAACGTGTGGTTTGCATGCATTTCAATTTAACGGATAAATGCTCCGACTGCATGCATTGACGGAAATGATTAATGCATGGATATTGAAGTGATGGTGTAGACACCACGGATGCGGGTGTGTGCAGAATAAAAACGGCAATGGCCAACAACATGGTCACCTCATCCACTTTGCGCTCCTCCTCATCGCCCGCAGTTTTCGTCATATCTATAACGGTAGCTAGTGCGCTTTGTAATATGGCCAGCCATTCGGCCGAAACTAGCTCGTGTTTCGCCCAACGATCGATGCATACCGATTTGAGTGTATGTAGCGAGGCTTGGACAGCGCCTGTGTTCGCTAATATTGTTGTATCGATGGATGATTTGTTGGCGATTTCGCGCATTATCGATGTGGTCATGAAGACGATGGTCGGCAAAATGGTTAGCGCACCTTTTGGTGAGCACAGCGCTGTTAAGTCTTCAACGCATTGCAAGCCACTGGCAACTAGCATTCCATTATCCTCAGCCAAAACTGAGAAGAATGACTGTGATGCACTACTTTTGGCCGCCAATTCCTGCTTGAATTGAATTGTGCTCAGCTTACTGGCGACGCTGGGATTCATGGAGGGTATTTGACGCACAAACACGCAGAGGCATACTTCAAGTACTGCATATACATGGGAAGTGCCGGGCACAATTTCCCCATCTTCACCGCCCTCACCGAAATTATCGATTTCCAACTGAAGATGTAAGTTATCGGTGTTTTCATTGTTTTTGTTTTGAGCAAGGTACTCGCCACGTTTCAACTGTAGGTCATCCTTGGCCGCATGTATGGATTGTTTCAGTATTTCCATGCAAAGTAGTTGGACCAGCAGTTCGTCGCGAGTTAAAATCTGTCTATGCAGAACGTTGCACAGTTCAATGGTCAATGTTTTGTTTTTAATTAATTGCTTGCGTGCCCAGTCCGAGTCGAAGATGGTGTAAAGCGATTGCAGACAGCTAATGACATTTTTCGGTTTTTCAGAGGTGCGCGTGCTGCACAAAGCCTCCATGCAAATGCCGAAAATCATGTGAAAACGATCCGCTGAAAGTGACCCGTGCGAAATGTTATTGTTGGTCTCATAGGCTGCACCATCAGCACCTGTTGCGCTCGTATTTACATAAGCCGCAAATCCTTCATCTTTTAGCCATAATGATGCCGCATACAAAATAGGCGGCCATGAAGATAGATAATGTGGTTTGGATGAGTTGATAGTGTCCGTTGTGTAAAATGCGCCACCGTCATGTGGTAATTGACTTTGGAATTCTGCGGGTAGCAACAGCAGTGCATGATCCTTCATTGCTGCAAGCCAATGTGTAGATAAATTGCCCAACTCTGGTTTGACCAAGTTGAGCAGACTTTCACCACGACTCTCAAAGTCACCAAAATCTCCACCAGACGCCTCGGAGCCATCCAAGTCTAGACCACTAGTGAGTGGGGTTATCGTATTTGACGAGGTGAGTTTCTTTTGCAACAACGAAGCAGGCGCAGAGCCATTGCCGATCATAGCAACAATGTAAACCTCCGCCCAGGCTTTTAAAATGCTCAACTTTTCTAGTGTCGCCATGGATTCATTGTATAATTGAGTGCTGTTTGTTTTGGTGCGCAACTTGTCAAGAGAAGAAACTAATAAATGGTGTACACGTCGCAAATCGTTAAGGTCTCTAGCAACTCCAGAGCCAATCCAAGCAGAGCAAACTTCACACGCGGCTGCCGTAACATGGGATGGAGTGTCCGCTGAGAAGGCAGGTCGGAGGGCCGCGCCGACCTAGTCAAATAGAAAGTAGAGATAAAATTAAATCAATGAAATCATTTTCAGAGCTTAGAATTAGAATTCACCTGTGCTTGGAATTGCTCTAACAGCAAATGCCCTGGGAACTCTGGCTCTGGCACATTCGCAAATCGATCGATTATCTCTTGCAATGTTCGTAAACCTTCCAAACGCAGCTGATCAGAGTCTGAGGTGGCCGCCATGAACGACATGCGTATCAGCTCCGACAAGTGGAGAATCAGATAGTCACCTCGCGATTTTATCATTTGCATCTCCTTGGCTTGTATCAGATCGAGGTGTATGGGATTGGCAGCCTCGCAGGTGGCTATAATTTTTCGTACACATTGAGCTGCAAATACACGAGTTGGCCAGCGTGGCTGTACGGCTGGATGTGTGGAGGTATTTTCCTCGGCATGGTACTCAGTTACATCATCACAGTCTTCTTCTTCGTCATCATCATCAGGATCTGCTTTATTGGCGTTATCATTGCGACCGATTGATTTACTGTTGCTTGCTTCGTTCTTCGCACCGCCCGCTTCGTCTTGGAGAGAGGAACCCTCAACAGCAACAGTTAACACGTTCTTGCACAAACTTAACCAAGAACTGAGATTGTCAGAAGCCAGCATTTGTAGCATGGACGTTAAGGTGTCGTGTATGTTCTTCAGCATTTCGACGTCGGTTTCAGTGTCTAGCATCGCAAAAAGTACACCCGGCAATCCATAATCTGTGATGGTAATATCGGGATATTGCTCTGGTGTCATCGTTAGCGCTAGTTCACATACTTCCTTGGCCTCGCGCTGTGAAAGCTGTCGTAGACAAGATACTGCAGCCTTACGAAGCATTAAATAGTTGCTCGACAGCGTTTTGACCAGCGTCGGTACCAACGAGCTCAAGTTTACATATTTCGGGCTGAAGAGATGTAGCTGCTGTAAGCAGCCAGTTGCCTCGGCCTGCACAAGTGGATCCGTATGCGCTTGCATAATAGCAGCGGCGCAAAGAAAAGATGTGCGCATTGATCCAACGGCACCATTGTTGCTCTGAAAAAAAATTAAATAACGTACGTATAAGGACACACTGTCAAGCATATGAATGGACTCACCTGCAGTTCGGGTCCTACGGTTGTAATAAGCGCATTCAAGACACGCCCGACGCACTGATGCACGTCCATATTGGATTGCGGTACAGAGAGCAATAATTTTAAGCACAACGACAGAGTAGCCTCTACATAACCGCGGAACATTGGCCCGCCTGAGTCGGCTATGAGTGCCAACGCATACAACGACCAAACCTGCACAACCGGTGATGAGGTATCCTGTGCCAACGCCAACAATATGGAAACACTTGTGTTCAGATGATGAGACGAACCCATTCCGCCGACATAGCGATGCAAGCAGCCTAAAGCAAGTGAGTGTCCTGTGCGCGTGACCACATCACGTGCCGACTTCAGTTTATCAAAAGAGTTTTGTGCCATTTCGGCGGTGAAGCGCGAGTCACCCACAACCTGCGCCATGCGACCAATGGCTTCACCGGCTGCACAACGCAGTGTCGAATTGGTGCTCACCAATGCGGCAATAACCAGATTAGTAGCGCTCTTCTTCACGTCCTCTTGACCAATGCCGCTCTTGCTGTCCGTGAGCCCCTTCAAACCGCTGAGAAGCGCAGTGAAAATATTCATTTGTACCGCCTCTTGACGACTGCTCTTCGCCTGACGTATACACTCGGCGAAATGCTCCAGCATCTGTAAGCGATGCTTATTGGCCACCTTCGGAAAGATTAGACCAAAGAGCGTTACGGACATATCGATGACGGCAACTCCCAGCGGAAGCGGGCCTGGACATTGATCGACTTTGTTTAGTTGTGTGTTGGAAACGGCGGCTAAGGCGGCACTACCTACCAAACCACTTATTGATGGACGATATAGACAGCAAGGATCATGTTCCAGAGCACCTGAACCGGCAGCGCTGTTGGGCTGTAGCTGTGGAGAGGAGTTGTTGTGTTTAGATTTTTATTTTCAATAATTGCAACAAAAAAATCATGATACATGTTATACATACGGATAAAAAATTTGTATTTTCTCAGCAGAAAAGGAAAACAAAATGAAAAATACGTTAACAGAAAGCCAACCTATTAACTCAACTGTATTAATTGTAAAAATAACGGTTATGGTTATAAAGCAAACGCAATCAAGAATGTGACAAGTAGGACAAGGAGTTCAAACCAAAAAAATTAATGAAAAAAGATTAACGAAAATAAACTGGCTTCGACTTTACGCCTAACATTGTGAATGTGTCGGCCCATAAAGGATTATCTGTACTGTCGCCTATAAGTTAACTGCACATTATGGACATTCGAATGATGAATGATCTTCACTATCACATCTCAAAACTGAAATATACACACATCACATCACTATGCTGTTCGACGCCAATAGAGGCATCACCAACGTGCACTGTCAAATGCTGAAATGTTTTCGTCTATTCAGACTAAGTTATGTAAATCACTGGAGTATATTTTTGTCTTCGAATATTTCTCTTCCATAGTATAATACGAATGGACCATAATTTTTAATTAATTTACTGTCTGGTGATTTCTTAATAGGAAAATAATTTAAAACATCGAATTTTTTAGGAATGAAGAAGCAAGGACGCTGACCGTTTACTGCATCACGCTTCATCCTTATGTTGTTGTTGTTGTGGGCTTTCATTAATCGAACATGAAAAGCATACAAATAGTTATAGAAAAAGTCGAAATGACTTGGCAAATGGCCAAAGAAGAAAATCCTGCTAAGAACACTTCAAATACCAAAAGGCCAAAGGAAGTCAAAAAAACAAAGATTGAAAATTGGTGGAAGAAAGTGTGAAAATGGAAGAGGTTTTATGTAGTGACAAATATTTGTAAAAACTATTTACATTCTATGTACATAGGTACGAGTATATGCTTACACACATAAGGCGAAGGTCGTGCCAAAAATAATAAATCGATTAAAGAAAGATCAAACAGACTGAACATAAAAGATTTACATTATAAGCTTAACAGTATACAAAACTCAAAGTGCATTTTACGCAAAAGTTATTCAAATTTAACACCAAACAACAGCAATTGGAACGTTTAACAACAACAATAACAACACTTACATGCTCGCCATCGGATTTACGATTGGGTTCCATCTATGTATGTAGCGAGATTAGCACAGTAGTGACGATACAGACAGTAGGCAATTGTTGTTGATATCAGTTGCATTTCATGATGGCGACGGGATTGTTAAATTGATTGGTCGGTTGTTTATATGGTGGATGTAGCAGTGTAGTGGGGGAAGTAGTTATTGGTTGTTAGATATTTGCGGTTATTTAACACGTACATTTCAAGGTTTTTGTATATTTTAAGATATGAAATACGAGTGTTTGTTTTTGCTAGTTTTTGTTGTTTTGATTTTCCTTTTAGGCCAACGGAGCTCAATACACATGGCCAAGAGTTTACAAATTTGCGAAGAAAATTTACAAAATTCCAAAGCTTGACTGCGTTATGTTTGTATGTATTTACATATGCATGCATTTTTGTACGCTTTCATGTATTTAAGCATCCATATATGGACTTAGAACTTTAATGTTTTGTAAAGTACTTATAAGTGGCTGCACCTACATATGTATGCACACATTTGCTATTTTTTATATCTATGCTTACATGCTTATTTATGCTAAATCTTTGAGTTTTCTTGCAGCTTTTATTATTTTTATTAATGCTTACGCAAATTTTGTGAATTTTATTACCTATATACACATGTATGTATGTATGTAAGTATGCTTATATGCAAATTTCTGCATATTTATGATTTTACTTACATTTAAAGCTTGCAGATACTTAACTCTATACAATTGTATCGTTTATTTCAAAAAGTTTTCACTGGAGTGAGCTTGAACAAAACATAAAACATTCAATTTTGACCATTGAGGAGCAAAAACTCAAGAAAGCAATTCCAATCACCTAAAAAACACGCTTCAGCGTTTACAAAACGCCATATATATCATGAGAAAAAAAGGACTTGCCACAAATATTACCGACCCATTTAAGAATAAGCCAATCAATCTCGTTAAAACTAATAGCTCTGAGTGTATGCTTTTCTTCTTTGCGGAGTTTATGGTCAATTATTCGCATATTATATACGGGTTGGCAAACTATTTATAATTGAAATTGCATTTCTATGCTCCAAATATATCTTTCCCCATAAAATAACTAAAAAACAACAAAGAAGAGTTGGCTTCGTTCATGCCAAAGTCTTTATAACTTTTTTTTTTAATGTGGTTAATTTATTGTATTTGTGCTCTCATCCGAACACAACGGTTGTATGGGGCTACATGATATATCGGAGGTCTGATTTGGGTTGACAATGTTTATTTAAACATACGAAAGTATACCCAGTTTCATACTCTTAGATGCTTTTTTCAAGGAGTTATGACCAAAGCCTTATAACAGAAAAAATCGGTATATGAAAACCTATATGTTATTGTCGTCTGATTTCGTTAACTTTCAGCACCAATATGTAATGCATCATTTGTGTGCAGAATACCAAATTTCACGGGTGTTTTTTTGACGGATGTATGATGCAAATTCTCAGGTATTAAAATCGGTCGTATATTTGCTAGAGTCGTCCGACGCGGCCGGTTCCGACAAATGATGGTTTATATGTAACAGTGCAGTGTACCAAATTTGGTTGAAACATCTTCAAAAGTGAGGGAGTAGTTTGCGTACAAGCAGACGTACAAACAGACATGGCTAATTCAACTTAGCTAGTCTTCCAGATCCGACTCTTATTGACGTGTGCACCAAATTTCATCAAATTATCTCAGTTTTTACTCTGTTTATTACACCCAAACAAACTTGTTAATGCCTCGCTAAGTCGCTGCAGACGACTGTTCGCGAATCAAATGTAAAATACATTATTCACATGATACAGTCGGGTATACATATGTATATACATACGAGTATGCCCATCAGTGAAATTCGTTTTAATATAAAATCGTCAAACAACAACAATTAACCGAGAATAGGGAAGAAATTTCAAGCACAGCAAATGGGAAAAAAGCGAAAGCAAGCAATGTAAATGAAATTACCTGATCCTCAATGGTACGATGATCCGTCTCTTGCAACCATGTGCCCAAAATAATAGAATCGTCGCCATGACAAAGAGCACGCAGTAAAGAGTTCGTTGTATTGGCTGGATTTTCAGAGAGCGTGAATTCGGCCACTAGCATCCGTAATAGATGTGTGTAAGATGACTCCAAGGCATTTGGCGGCAAAAGAGAAAGTGTCTCATATAGCCTCAAGCGCACCATAGCCGCAGATGCCTTCAATTGTGTGCCATAGCTTTTTAAAACTGATGAAAGGCTATTAAGTAAGAGAAAGAATGTATAGTACATATGTATATGTGGGTGTATTTATGTGTAGATGTTCATTGTACTATTCAACATTTACTCACTTAACTAGCATTGCGAGCGCACTTTCGATGGGTGTTAACAGTCGCCGCGTTATATCTTCGTTAACAAGATCCGGACAATTCAGTAGAAAACTATGCATTACAGAGAGCGCACCGGCACGACCCTCCAAAGTCACCTGCCAAGTGAAGGCATCACCACGCGCCTTTTCCGATTCCAGCTCTTTATTGGAACGTGGAAATGAGTTGCGCCACAGCAATAACATACGCGGTAACAAGCCTTTAACAACCGGCGAGCCCAGTGTCATTATGGCGCCAATTAAAAGCCAGCCTGCTTGCGTTCGATGCAGAGACATGCGACTGTTTTGCGATGCTGAGCGCAATAGTTCTTCGGCCGTATTGAAAACCACTTTTCCTTTAGTATGCGGTATGCCAAGCGGTGAGTAACGTACGCTACCCAAAGTTGCTGCCAAAGCTGCACTATAACCAGCGATAGCCTCGGGTGAGGAACGCATCTGTTCTATAGCATCAACAAATCGGTCGATGAGTGGAGTTATTTGACTTGGAACTGCTACACAGAAGCAGCGCAAACACCAGGCTGCCGCTAATCGTGCGGCTGCGCAAGGGTGCACAAGCACTGCGCATGTTGCGTCTATAGAATTCAGTGTATGATCATTTAGTAAACTCTGCGCTGTTGTGCCTAAGCCCAACACAAGCGAGCCCAATTCTTGAAGTGCACATACCAAGAGATGCTGACTGAAGAGTGTCTCCTGATTAGAATCCTTAGCATTTTCCGGATTAAAATCGATCGAGTTCATTTGTTTGGCTATAATATGTATGAGCTCTTTACAGGCTGAGGTTTGCGCCTTTTCGCCAAGCATTTTACCAATAATCGAGCGCAGTATGAAGTTGATGCATTTGCGCGAGTACACAGCGTCGACGTGAGAGGAGGCAGCCTTGGGGTTGGCCACCAAATCCAGCGCATGCATTAGAAAAGTGCTCAAATTGCGTTCCAACCAGACGCTACCCATGAATTGCACAAATACAACGTACGAATGAGTGACGCCAACACGTACTTCACGGTTAACGCTCGAACTGCCTTTGATAATCTCGCCTGTGCCCTTTAGGAAGGATACACCACCACGCAAAAATCCCGACATTAATATACCCAATGCTTCATCCAGCGAAACATTACGCGCCTGGTTCTTTGTGGGTATGGGTTGACCAGGTTTCTTACTTGCGCCCGCCGGCGGTTGCTGTGTAAAGGCCAACAGTGTACCCAGTAATTTGGCGACGGCGCATCGCACCTCATAATTGCTACCGTCGAACGCACGGAAGCAGAGCGTTGCTAAACTCTCGAGTTCTGTTTGATAGAGGAATGGTGCGTGATTGATCATCTCCAGCACGCATTTGGCGGCCGCTACACGCACGGCCATCACGCGATCTGTGAGGCAATGCTTCGTTGCTTTGTAAATGAATTTGTGTACGTTGGAAATGGCTGTTCCCATGCCAGCGCAAAGCTAAAATTCCGTAAAAAGAGATTATTACTAAATTATGTGGGGCAGCTATTAACAAGTGCGTGTGTGTGTGGGTGTGTGTGGTGATATTTCATACCTTTTCCAGGGTGATCATAATTTCAGTGCGCGCCTGTGATTCAGCATTCCGTAAAGTGCGTACAAGTATTTGAACCGTTTCCTCATAAGAGGGGCCCATCATACGGCCGAGTTTCTCATACATCGAACCCAACACGCAAATAGCGGCACTGCAGAAAAATTGATTACATTATAGCTTCAAACAAATCTATTTCGGTAGAAAATTAATAAGTATGTATGTGTGTATCTCAATTATTTTAAAGCATGAATTTGAAATTTTTTTTCGACAAAAGTTTAGTAGGATTTTCATTCAAGAATCATTCTACAAGTTTCAACGGTCAACATCGAGAATTTTCGAAATAATGGACAATACATTTTTGAAAAGAAATAACTCCTTAAAATAGCTGTGCTCGGTGAGACACAAAATGCCAAAACGCGATTCACCGCGATACCAAGTACACTAATTTTCATTGCAATCAAACAAGAAAAAAAAATTGAAAAAACCTAACCTAAAAAAATTAGTATCAATAAATAATTCGGAACACAAAAGTTTCTAGTATTGGATAAATCATTAATTTACTTCCCCTTCTTTTTCGTCTTCAATAAATATTAATCAACTTAAAGCCCGACAGGAAAACAAAACTTTATATAACCTCAAGCTTTTCATTTGAATTGGATTCTCATTTAATAATAACTCACAGTTTAGTGGGTAAATAGCTTGGTGAGTCATCTTTATTCTTCAAAATATCATTGCAGGCATTCACCGTGTCGAACAGCATAAAAGTATCGCCCACCGAGAACAGAGTCGCTAAGCAACTGGCTATTAATTTGCGAGTCGGCGGACCGGGCGAACCTTGAATATGCTCCGTCAGTTGCTGGACCAGTTTCTTTTGGCATGATTTTATATCGGATTTCTGTGTAACTGGTAGTACTTTCTCCAGATAGCGCAGCCATTCGAATACAAAGACTGGTCGCTTTTGCTCCGGCAATTGCTTCAACGCTTCCTCATTGAGGGTTAGACTATGAGATAGTTCCATTTCATCGATGTACGGTTCAGCGCCGGCTTCGTCGTTGTTACTCGTATCTTGTTCGTCGTAGCGAATAAATGATCTGTAAGCGAGATAAATGACATCAAGACATATTAATTATTATAAATAATGTTAATTAATTATTCTATAAAAAGTTCTATTATTTACATACAGACGCTTATATTAGGGTGAGTGCAGATTGCAAAGGATTTTGTTTCTACCAGAAATATACAGAACAAAAGCTTACTGCAGCCGAGTAGCCCCTTCACTTTTCTGGTCATAAAATTTACTCAGCAGTTCGAAGTTGTCTTAACCCGGCAGCGGCCTACATTTACTAGAAAAAACGTCAAGACCACAAATCGGAGGAGAATCTCAAACGAAAATCTGTTCGGTAGTAATTTAGCCCGGAGCACAAAAATATAACGAAAAGTATCTAAAACATGCACACCCTTGAAGTCTGGTGCTGATCTCTGTGCTGCGGTTTTTGCAATGCCAAGGTTGGGTTATCAACGCCGCAAAAGCATTGCTCACATCAAATACCTACTTGTGTATGTCATATAATACTCACATTCAATTTAAATTGCTATGCCAATTAAATATACCCATATATACATAAATATGTACATACTTATACATATGTATATCTACTATGCTGAACTATATGCCTTTCATTTAGTTGATCTGCCCATATTTTAAATAAAGCTTCCATGAGTCATGAGAAGTGCGAATGAAATGAGAGCATCGTGAAATTGGGAAAACATGTTGTTGTATATCTCTGATTCGCCCGATATTTGAAGTACACATTATATATATACATATCTGCATTTAAAACATACCGTATATCCGCTAGCTCCTAGCACTGTCGATCTATAGCAACAGGGTAAACCCTTTTCGGACAAATTAAATTCGGACATGGGAATCCTTGCTGATCTGTCCAACGTTGTGGAAGCCTTTTTCTACCTTTGCTTCCACTGCTTCGATTCTTTCAAAGCTGGAGTACGAACAGCATGACCTAGCCAGTGTAGTCACTGTATTTTAATTCGCTGAACTTCTTAAGTCAAAGTTGCCCCCAGCCCCACGACGCGAGATAATGTGGTCACTAAAAGCTGCCAGTTTGTTATTTCCAAAGGTCTCCACATCAACAACCGCCAATTCAGGCACGAAAACGTTGTTAGTCATGACTCAATTGCGTTCATCATTGACTGTGACATTATGGCCGGCTTAATTTTGCACAAATATGGACCAGTGATTCCCTCTGGTCATAGAGCATACCGAAGAGTGACTTTTTGTAACGGCACCTCAATAACGGTGGATTATCATCACTCAAAAGACGACAATTAACGTGCCCATTCAATCAAAAGCAAGCTTCCTCGCTAAACATTGTTTTTGTTGTAAAAATCGGGATCGGTGGTCACCTTGTCTTGGGTCTATTCACTGACGGTGCGAGCCGCTTGATGGTCGTTCGGATTCAATTCTTGCTCGAGTTGGAGTTTCTATGCCTGCTCACCAAGTTTCTTCCGCAAAATCTATCATAAAGTGGATGGGGATGGATAGCTACTAATGTTGGGCTCGAATGTGGATGGACTCAGTCGGGTCGAGATTCTGCTCCACAACAGCTATAGCATGTCCGATACGCACTATACTGCGTTTTAGAGAACGCGCAGTAACCACCAGAGTAATCGCGGTGCGAGACCGATCCATGGTTGCTCGAATTACCGACTATGCTGGGTGATTATGTTGCCCAAATAACGGACGCAGCGTGAGCCGGGCCATTATTGTGGCAATAAATTTGCACGATTGTTAAACGTTGTAAGTTGATCCGTTGGTTCGATGCCATAAGAAGTCTGATGAGGAGATGTGGTGATCTCCGAAACAGCTGTCACTTCTACCATTTTTTTTTTGTTGTATAACAAAAATATTCAATTCATACAAACAACCAGGCCTTGTAGTTTACTCAATACTTATATCAAAAATTAGTATGTTATTTTACTTAAGTCCGTGCTATGACCCGGATGGCCATGGGTTGGAGCAATGGTCGGGGAATGCCAAACTATTTTTCTTGAAGCTGGATCCACCCACCTTCAACTAAACTAAAAAAAAAAGTTTGAATACTTTTAGCAGCATGAAGCGCTTCCCAAATTGGACTCAATAGGCATGTCCTTCTCGGACGACGGGCGAAATCTCCAGATACTGATCACTTTCTGTTTATTGGGTAAACAACATTGAGACTGTTTTGAATTTTATGATGTGTGAATACGAGTGTAACTGTGCTTCTGACTTTGTGTAATTATGAAAAAATCTTCAAAATGAAATTATGCCACTCACTTAAAGATGTTGATAAGAATTTTGAACTAGATAAAAACCATTTGGAAGTGCGAGTACGTCCTACTCAAGTTGGCGCAAGTGGGTATTTATTGTGTGTGTAAGTACGCGCAGTTACATACAAGTTCTTGTGCACATAAAATGTTGACCTTTGACATGAGTACCAGCACTTATGTACACCTACATACATGCACATGCAAGCACCCTTAAGGATATTCATGCATTATGCATTAGGCAGCGACTCATTTAAAATGGTATAATCTCTATAAACGCGATATACAACTACAACTGTCAGCTATGTAAACACCTCCCACCACCCCGCAGATATTTAGCTGAGGGTAGAATAAAACTTTATGAGTATCTAAAAAAAAATAAACATTTGTTGCAATAAATTAAAATGAGCACCAACCATGCCCTGCCGCAACTCAAAGCGTTTAGTAGTTTCTTTTTAAATTCATTTCTTATCATATTACAATGAAGAACAGTTCCGGCAGTCGAAATAAGAGTCGGATGACGAATTTTGTTTAGGAAAACTCTTTTTGTCTTCATACCAGAACGTACTTTTTAACAGTAATACGCCTTCAATCCTCCGACCCCAACATTAGTACCTCCTGATAGTTTACAAGTTTTGTCCGTTAGATGGCCTCAATAGACAACGTTGAAACAACAATACTCGTTGCCGGCTCGTAATTTATGACCAAAAAACAACGCCCTAACAATCACTCACTCCCTGTATTGACCATATTTGGTCCTCGGCGTGTTCTTCTCAAGATTGAATAGAGCAAGGAAAGGCATTTTGAGGCGATTGCGGAGATAAGAATAGAATCTCTGATAGAGCTCAATTTCATATTGCAAAACACCTTCGAGAATTGGAAAAAAAAAAGATTTTGTACCTGAGGAGGACTACTTTAATTGACATGAGATTTTGAGAAAAGATACCTACAATACACTAAAAAGTTTTAAAATCAAACATAGAGTACGCCTCTGTAAATATGTGCATATTGTGACGAAAATGCCAAAAACGAATGACAGATGAAAACTTGTTGACATAAGATATGTAAGAGAGCAGCCAACACTGTAAAAGGCAGTGCCAAAGTGAACTCGTTGGTGACAACATTGGTGCAGAGTGAAAGCAGTGGAGGGTGAGAGTTGTAAAACAAGTCGCTGAACATAGTAAAACCAATTTTTATTTACCGACTAATAAATAAATATTGATTAAAATTCTTTAAAAATAAGAAACTATAGTTTAGTGGTCGAATTTCGGTTTTTTAAGGATTTTCCGAAAGTGTTCAAAATATATATATTTGGAAAATATAAAAATTTCGCTTTTTCAAGATGATCTTATGTATGCATAATATATATATAATTGACGTTTTTTAACTGTTGAAGCGATATTCGACCGAGCTCCCCCGCAGTCTTGCTTCTTGATGTTTTTTTAACAAATGGGTCCTCTCGATTTGTTATTCTAAGTCGCCTTCGAACAAACGAGGGATTTTTATGAGGAGATTTCATTTCATGTCAGAAATATACTCAGAGGGCTTGGTCCGAATTTCCATCTGCGAATCGCTGCTGAATCGCAACAAAATCGAGCCGTTTCTGAAGCGGATTATGACTCGCGATGAAAAGTGGATCACTTACGACAGCATCGAGCCCAAACGCTCGTGATCAAAGCTCGGGGAAGCGGCCCACACGGTGGCCAAGACCGGATTGACGGCCAGGAAGGTTTTGCTGTGTGTTTGGTGGGATTGGCAAGGAATCATCTACTACGAGCTGCTCCCCTATGGCCAAACGGTCAATTCGGCCCTCTACTGCCAACAAATGGACCGCTTGAAGGCAGCAGTCATCCAGAAGAGGCCATCTTTGATCAACAGAGGCCGAATTGTGTTAAATAAGGACAACACCAGGCCACACACGTCTTTGGTACCGTGCCAGAAGCACCCACCTTATAGTCCGGACCTGGAACCAAGTGATTAGCATCTTTTCCTGTCCATGGCGAACGCGCTTAATCGTGAGAAGTTGGCCTCAAGAAAGGCCTCTGAAAATTGGCTCTCCAATAGGGATGTAGACTTCTACAAGAGGTGTATAATGAAGATGGCATCTCGTTGGCAACAAGTTTACGAACGAAACGGCGCATATTTGACTTAAATCGGACAAATGTACACAAAGTTATCATATTTTGAAAAATCAATAAAAAGCCGAACGAACTTTTTACTTGACCAATATATATGAATGTACATCTAATAAAATTCACTTGAGTGGTTGGCTTAAGTTTCATACCTTCTTGCTTCGCTGATGACTTTGCGCAAAAATTGCGGTGTCCGTGCGAAATTTTGTAAATTCTCCATTTTCGTAGAATGAGATCGCAGCTGTTGATCAGGTGTTAGATAAAACGACGACACTTGCTATTTGCTGCTAATTTCAATAAGCATTTTTTCACTCCAACAACGCAGAGTATTTATTTCACGATCAGAAAATTTTTTTTAATTTATTGGATTTATTTTGAGTTCATAAATGTATATGATTATGTATGTCCGCGTGAGTAAATTTCATTCAAACATCCAAATTGTGTAAATATAAAATTAAAATCGAAGACTTTTCGGAAGACTTCAGGAGAAATTTAATATTTGTATTAATTGTATTGTTTGCCCAATAGCGCTCACACAAAAACTGATTCACGGTCCACTGAATGCTTGTGTCTGGAAGCGAACTAATGCACACACGCTTACATATTCGTATAAATTCCGGCTGGCACTGCAATGCTGACCGTAAAACAATAACAATAACAACGACTGGAACGATGTTTTGTGCCAATGTTCTTTTGTCGCAATCTTTTTGCTATTCGCCTTTAATTCTTTGCATTTTCTTTTCCAAAGGCTTCGAAGAAATCAATAATTAGCGAAGAACGAATCTTATGACGATTCACATGTGGAAAATATTAATCAATTCAAATTCCAGATGTACACACATATGTAGGTATATATATTTGAAACCACATACTTTAAAGATGCTTTTATTATTGCGGAATTTTTAAGATACTTTGAGCATTTTATTTTCCTATGGCACTGGAAGAGATTTTCACAAAATGAAAATAAAGCAATGACGCATAGGTAGGCTATTGGCACAGGTACGCGTATAGAGTTGCATGTATCTGCATACATGTGTACATATCTATTTCCGTTTAAGGTTAATGCAGCAATACGCACAGCAAACGTTCTGTTTTTTCACAAAATAAAATTCTGTTAAAGACATTTTACACACATTTCTTTATTTATTATTTTTTTTCTTCAGTCACAAACATAGCTGGTAGATCGTTTATACTGTTTCGCTTCGACCGTCCATTGCCTCTTGCATCGAAAAAATGACTATCACGTGCTGCTCGCCTGTTTGCCAGAGCCACCTAGCTGAGTGCCATGCTAGTTCGCTCGGCAGCAATGCGAGAGACTGCAAGGAAACACAAGTGTCGTGGTGCCACCATTCCGTTCCGGGGCAACACACCATCAACCACAGGTATGTATGTTCATTAGGTTGTGTCGCATGTATATTCCGGAATTTGGCTTGGGACTAAGGTATAGTCATTTAAGTTTTATCCAGCGTGTCCTCCTATCAGTATGCCCACGAGCTCTTTCTGCGATTTGGTTTTTACCTTCTCAATCGTCTTTTCCTAGGTTTTCCAATTTTGAACCGCAATTTTTTACTCATTCGCTAAAATTTTTTTCTGATCACTTTCCATCGACAGCAGAGCATCGTCGAACACGCGAAGCGCTTCTAGCTTGTATGCCTTGCACATAACACCAAGCATATTATTCATCTTTTACTGCAACTTTGGCGGTTTCAATCTGAAAGAGGGATCGATACATACCTCCTCTTCCTCGACTACTAAAAACACTCTGACTTCTTTAACGTTATGCTGGAGAATCGAACACTACAATCTTGAAATTGACTGCCCAAGACCGCAAAAAGTGAGGACGAATAATGTCGTTTCATGAAGCTTGCAATCAAAGCTGGGCTCTCAAAAACTACTTGGTTCAATGGAGTCCTTTAACCGCCAAAATAAATCCAACATATTTTGACATACCCCAATGTGCATGCGCTTAAATATATATGTATTATATGTATGTATACATAAGTGTTTCCCAAACAACATAGTGTGCTCGGTGTTACGTTCGTCCGTAGAGCGGCAACCGAAACAAACGATAACGACAACATAGAAATCAACGACGACGCAATAGCTCTAGTGTTTCTCATTGTATTTCACACAAAACTAAATATCTACATACATACATATATTCATGAAAGTTCAGGAGGCGGCGGGTGGTGCAGAATGGTAGCCCAATTTAATCTCGCACGGCAATGGTGTTGACCGGGGTTGTGGTGGTAGTGAGTGAGTTGAGGATGGCGAGCGTGTTTTGCTCTCTAGAGTGCTGACATACATACTTACATACATATATGAGTGAGTAAGTAGTTCTGTGGGGCATGGAAAATTGCAAAACAAGATTTCGTCGGCGGCTATAAGGCGAGCGGAGATGCGGCAAAGGCAACCAAAGGAAACAAAAACTTATTGTACAAAGTCACTCGAGCAAAATGTTTTTTATGCTAGAAACAAAAACAAAGAGATCATTCCAGTATAAAGAGCCCATTGCCAAAAGAGATCTTGGGTTTATGACGACTTTCTGACAAACAATTCATACAGATTCAAAAAATCGCAATTGTTACCCTCGATGTACCGACTAGTTAGCTCTGCTTAAAATTGAGTTAATTAGGGGTTGCAAACTCAAAGATACGTAAATATCAGGAAAACGAACGTAGACAGCTCGATCCAGGCTTGAGTTCTTCATCGTATTGAGCACAACATATTTTATTGGAATAGTGTGCCAGAAGGTATTAACCAACTCTCCGTGAAATTGGGGTAATTCAAAGTTATTCTGCCCCATGCAAGTGCCTATTGAGGCCATCTCTGTGGTAGATTCATAGAATGGCTCTTTAGGATCATAACTTAAATGTGGCGGTTTACAAACGATAAATTTAGGCCAGTACTCCTTTCCAGATGTGCCTAGGTGGTGGCTCCTCTTAAAGTAAATATCTCTTGGAGGGCACCCGACGTTAGCCTCACAGCAGTTATTGTTTCGCTATCACAGCTGCTGTCACAGCTCTAAAGGCTGTGTGAGAAACTTATGTTATCAGTATCATGCCCAGGCGCCAGGCGTTGATCCGGATTTTAGCCGGTCAAAAGCTCTCCCCTTTCCGTCGACCTAACCCCATTTGGGCCATCAGATAATAATATATCACCACGGTTGCCGAAGCATTAACGAGCGGTAGGTAAAAGAAGCGTTTTGTCTACTCGTCCATCACCAGCGCTCTTTTGCTAAAAAAAAATATTTTGGAAACATTTGCAACCAGCGTACAAGAGATTCAAAATAACCACTTTCACCAAGAAGTCTTTTACAATATTTACTATATGGTTTATTGCACAGACACATACGAGCACACGTATGTACAAATGCTCTCAGGTTTGCACGCGCATACAATCTTCATATATGTATGAATATCTATATATATATGCACATGTATTTATTAACACTATGTTAACTGTTTCTTGCAATTTTTCCTGTTTTCACTGGGTTTTCGCGTTTCGCATTTCCTCTTCATTTCTCTTTCCCATCCAAAGATTGCTGGGCTAACATTGAAGAGCATACATTCTTCTTGTTTTTGTTTACTTTTTCTTTACTTTCATCATTTCTTACTTTTTTTTAAAGCAAAATGATTCAGAATTGCTGTTGCATCTCATTGGTTTTGAATGGAAACAGTGGAACAGACAGTACTTGCATATTGCTGAAAGATTTGGAAATATTCTAGTCAGAAACACGAGGCAAATAGATCGACGCTTTTTACCCTCTGAAGCGATTTTCAGCCGGGCTCATGGTTTATTCAAAGTCGCCTCCGAACGACTGAAGAATCTCTATTTCATGTCAGAATGTTGATATTCCCTGCCGAGGGACGACAGCAGTTAGAAAAATTAACTAAATCTATTTTATTTACTTTGTCCATCTTCAAAGTGAGCTTATACTCTCAGTTAAGGATTATAATGGCATCGTTTGCAAGCAACAGCAACAGCAACACAGAACCCCACATATTTTTGGGGTTTTAAAGCAATTCTACAAGAATAAAGATGGCAAAGATTAGATAAGGGTCTTACCACCAATCGCATCTTAGAGGATGGGCCATAAATTACACTGACGACTAACGAGACGCAGTTGAAGAAGCTTGAAATCCATAATAAAAATCTACGGCTACAACACCAACAACATTCACGAAGCAAAAGTAGCCGTTGCAGTACTTTCTTTTTTATGACGGCCTGTAAAAGCGCGCGAAGACAAAGATGCGCTTTATTGTAAAAACCGTTGTTGCTGCAAAAAGTTAAACATTAACAGACATAACTGCATAAATACGCTTGCTCGGCTGTATAAACCCCTTTCGAATACTGAACAAAGATGTTGATGATAAAGCAGGACTTGGTAAAACAGAACTTACGAGTAGTCTGAAGAATGCGTGTAAAGAAATATTGAGACGTTCAGAAGAAATTCGAATGAGGTGGAAGCTTGGAGAAATAGGTATGTTTCAGAAGTATCAAAGTGGTTTTCGAAGACAAACCTATATTTTCGAAAAAAAGGAAAAATCTGTCAAGCTCATTGCGAGCTTGGTCGTCCAGAGAGGTTTTTACTTTTCAGTTGCTTATTCTATTCAAAATAGATCCTATTGGGAAGAATGATTCTGTTGAGGTTAATATTGGTGTTGATGGGAAGAAATTTTCTACGACTTCAACTGACTATTTATTTGTTTAATGACAGAAGATATGTCGTATTGTGTTTCTACCAGGTAGCCGATGTTAAAGACATGCGTCTGAGGTGGGTTATTTAGACCCAAGTGTAATCGATGCAATAGATTGGTCGCCACCACTGCGTAACCAAAACTTCGTTCCAGGCTACCGATAGAATTGGTATAGATTTAGTCTTTATTTTCTGGCTTCTTTAATAACTCTCTGCTTCTGCTTGCTGTGTGCTTGTCCCTGTCCCTATAAGAAGACCGTTTCATTTCCTTTTAGCTCGATAAGGTCACGTCCGCGGCAGCATTGCGTACTGCGATTCGGAAGGTCAGGGTTTGAACATGGTACGACTAACATCCAAAAGTTATAAAAAAAATTATTTTAAATAAAAAATTAAGTAAAATTTTTTAATTGCAGTCCGCCCCTCGGCAGGCAATGTCTGACATGAAATAAAGGCTCCTCATAAAAAACAAACAGCCTTTCGGAGGCGGCTTAGTATAAACTGTAGGTGCCTCCGTTTGTTGGAAAAACATCAGGACGCATACAGCAAATTGCCCTTCTCCATTTTGAGTTAGCTTTTTTGACAAATAACTCGGCCATAATGAGCTTGCAAGTGGAGAGCGGCGCGCCCAAATTCTCACTTAGTGGCGAAAGTGGAAGGAAAGTGTTTTTCCTTGCAAGCTCCAAAGCCTCTTCACTCGCTTGCGAATGTTTTTATGAATGAGAGAATTTTCAAATTGCAGAGGCACGTCCCACTTTAGCGTCTAGTGTTGGGCTTAAGCAAATATTCCTTGATCAAGACTCGTTTAGTAAGCTCGTATTATTTTATTTTAATTTTTAAAGACGTTTCTTTGACGTTCCGACTTTTGTCACTTGTTATTTTCAAATCTCAGGCCTTCCAGAATTTGTTGGTAGGATCGAATTTGTACATACGCGTGTGTGTATACGCCTGGCTCACCTTTTAAAACAACCGACTGATTTTTTGCGACGCAACGAAAGTTGCAAGAATATCAACAGTTGCCTTGGGCTCTTGTTTCATTGTTATTTGTTTTTCTTTTATATAAAAATGCAGCCATAATAGTTATGTACGTGCGTGTTCAACACGAATGGGGGATGTAAGCAGTTTTCATATGCCACAGTCGCTTCATCTGTTGACCTATTAAGTACAAAAAAAAATAAAATTAAATACACAAACAAAGGATTCCCACCCAAAGTTGTACAATTTCATGCGTCATCCTGCTTCACTTATACGCATAGATACTCGTACATACATACATATGTAGGAGCATATGTCGCTAAAGTAAGGGAAATGCAGATATCACTTGTTATCTATGTAGTATATATGTATGTAGTGTATAAAAACATTTATCCATATGTTTGTTTTCTTAAATGTCCGAAGGTTTGTTTGCATGATTGCCGGAAGGGTTTGTATAAAAGTGAACCAGGGACTGACCTATCCGAAAAACTCGTATTTATGGTTCCTTTACTTGCAACTCTTTTCTGAGGGACCGATCTATATATGTATGTACGTATGTATTTATGGTTAGATTTGGTTACATTTTTAGATGATATGCTCAAATGGAATACTTTTGTTTCTCGGAAATGGACCGGAATCAGTGACAGATCGTAGTATATTTTGAACATAAGCCTAGGTAGTATGTTCACGGTGCAATTTTATTACTCTCTGGCTGCGAGTTATAAACTATTCTCATACGTTCAACATGAGTTTGAATCAGCAGGGATCCGAATGGTGCGTTTGGCTGACTTCGTGGCATTCATATTGACATTTATGCGAAAGACTTTGAGCAGGGAAGACAGCAAGTATACAAATACGTAGATACTGCTTTGTTCGGACGTTTAAGCATCCTTTCCATAAAAGTTGGACAAAGGGCCGGAATCAGCAGAAAACAAAAATCAAAGTGTGGCCGAATCGGCTTTATACATTTTGAAACGTCTTAGCTATGGCACCTGGTCAGCTCTTCTCTCTGTGGTTTTGATTACCTGCTGCAGTTATAGTGGAATAAGCAATTGCGTCCTATCGAGCATATTGTGAAAAATTTCGAAAAAAAAAGGAAAACGATCACACATATTAGATGAGTGTATAAGTTCGTGCCCGATTCCGCTGGATGCCGTTCGAATCGTTTGAGAGTGGCGCTCGTGAAAGAAATATATACNCGAGAAACCGAGCGATTTCTATGAATCAGGCATCCGTAAATTGGTTGAACGTTGGGAGTGGATTGCCGAACATGATGGCGAATACATAATTGATTAATAAAAACGCTTTCTTCAAAAAAATTTCAATTTTAGTTTGCACTTAAAATCGGGCACGAACTTATGCACTCATCCCTCCCTCCTCGTTGGTTATAAAGCTGCTTTCCACAGCATGAAGCTGCTTTTCGTGTCTTCTCTCTGCCGCTATAATTGATATCCCCTTAAAACTAATATGAGTGTGTAAACTGACGCTGAGCAATACCAAGAGTTCCGTACGGATCGAAAAGTACCTCTCCAAGGTCCCACGTCCCTGTTGGCAGTCATAACTATGAAGTCGTAGATAATTTCGTTCTTCTAGGAATCAGGTGCTACTTTGGATTTAGTAGGTAATTGAAAAGTAAAAGTTCTCTTTCGAGATAAAAGTTTCGCAAATGATTTACGGACCTTTGCGAAATGGCAACGGCGAATACTGCATCTTCTTAGGTACTAACAGTGACAACCTTACGAGACCGATTCACTATACTTGTCTTATCGTGATCTCGTTTTATATTTTCTAAGTCACCGTTACGTTATGTTAACTAGAAGTGATTTGCGTTCTTTTTCAATTTATATTCAAAGTCTCAGACCCACAAAAGCACAAATCAATATATCGCATCCTGTCTATACATATATATTTCGATAATATAAATGGTAATTGTATCATTAATTTCTACAACATCCCGTGAATATTCACCTAAATTTTCACGTCGATGAGCATAGAAGTTTCGGAAATGCCGCCTTACGAAGGCGCGCGCTCAAAGTCAGGTAGGCTCAGTGCTTTACACTTCAAAAGCGTTTTTATCGAATCTATGTTTTCAAAGTCGGTTGTTAAAAGGTCTCGAACACTTCTCACCAACAGATCTTAATGAAACTTTACACAGGTCTTCTAGATACCACTTACGGGGATTTGGTTTGGAAAAAAATCTAGCAAATTTGACCAAAATTGGCATTTTTTGTAAAACTTTCTGCCACAAATCGAATTTTTTTCACTTCAGATGATCCTGTCATGAGTTCTACTGTCAAGGCAGGCGCAACTTTTATCCGAGGATTCACCGGAAATGACCTCATTATGGCGGTGTTAAAATATTTCACTTTGAAAATTTAAGAAATTTTTGTTCAGTTAACAATTTGAATAAAATATTAATAAAAAAATGTTGGAAATATATACACAGCACCATAGGGTATATAATATCGGATCCTACAAACTGAGTTGCCCTAATGTGCGCATACGAACTTCAAATGAAGTTTTCTTCCTACCCCGCTACCAAATATCAATGATAAAGAAAATCTAAAGATTTTATTTCTTTAGTTATTTTATATAAGTAAAATGTTTACACTATACAAAAGCCAATTATGGCACGAATGGCAAAGCTGGAATATAACGCAACTCCTTCGCTGTGGCACTATTAGGATTGGCTAAGTCCTTCATTATTCCTTGTAAGCGCGAGACTACATCGCTGCGTTGCACATCACCGCGATCTATCATGCGCTTGAAGAGTGTGTACAGCTGACGCTCCGCCGAAGCGCTGGACAGGTCGTGCAAGTCCCTCAATAGATCCTCCGAGTAACCTTCATATTTGCTAAGATTAGCCGCCTTTGCATCGCGCTTCAACAAATCATAAACTAACAGAAACTCCACATAGGGTTTTGTGGGTGGTACACGTTTTTTACCTGCCGTTGATGTGGTGGACCAACGATCCAATGCGTTATCGTTGTCGAATGCAGCACGACCGTAGTTATCATCATAAAGGCGCAAAAAGTTATCCAAAGACTCCACATCGTTGGTGAATTCATCGTGTTCCGTCTCTGTTTGTATGTCTTGTATTAGTGCCAATGTTAATTTATCAAAACCCTCGATATTATCGCCAATCTCATCGAAGACCTCGTAACCCGCACGTTTTCCGGGCTGTGATTTAATTAGTGGCGACTTTAGTGGTGCATATAGACCGGGTTTGTGTGCCGGTGTGGGCGGTACTATTGGTCTTGCCGTAGTGGTGGCGGTGGGGTGCCACCAATTAGGTGGTTTCCACCAACCTGACGGTGGGGTGCTACCACCTGCTGATGGCCTGGTAGATGTGCTAAGCCAAGGTGCGCGAGTTGTCGCTCTTGTTGTTGTTTTTATTGTTGAGAGCCATGATGGTGGCTTTCTTGTAGCTGCCGTAGTGACTTTGGGTCTGGAAGTGGTCGTGGGCGACGCATTAAATATATTGGTCAGTTCATCATCACTCACACTGAACGGTGGCTCGACGGTGGTAGACGATAAAGGCTCATACTGCAAGTAATCGATATAGTAGGCGAGCGCTTGCATAGAAGCTGGCAAATAACTGGTGAGCAGGTTCGGCGCTGCCCAAGTGCCTTGCAAAAGGGCACAGATGACGAAGAGTGGACACAACAACCGACTGTAGTTCATTTTGTTCCTTTGCACTATTTCGGATGTTAACTCTTTCGCCTCAGTAGCCGTCAGAATCGTTCATGTTTGGAAGTAGACGTGGAAGAAAGCTTTGCGCGATGTTGAAACCTTTTTATGGATACAATTTTTGATTCTTCGATTTTATGTAATTTTTTTTTTATATCGCGCACCCGAAAAGTTAGAGTTACAAGTACACCAAAGCAGTTTAGCAAGCAGACTGAGCTCTGGATCTTGCGTTGACGCACGAACGCAGGTAAAATGGGCCGTGCAAGTTCAAAGCCTCTTTTGTCACCACCACGATGTATTAAGTTGAGCGGTTTGGTTAAATAAACATCCATACACTCTTGGATACATATGTATGTATGTATGCCTGTATATATGTGCATTTGTATGTGCATATGTACGCGTATGTGTGGTATAATTTCGTGGAAGTTGGGCGCAGATGAGAAAGGTGAATTTTTGATAATCGCTGTATTCTTGTGTGCCGATTCTCTTAGAAAGTCCGCAATCAATTTTTCGTTAACTTACCAAACCAGTTAATATTCGTGCTACTGAAGTTCATCGAAAGGTGCCACTCCAAAGGGTTTCCTTATGCTTTGTTACTGTTGTTGTTACTTTTCAAACATATGTGTTAAGTTTACACTCACATATGTATATACATGTAAATACATTTATTGATTTACTTCTCTTTTTATATCTTTCATGAACTTGGACAATGCAAAAGATATACCCACCAAACCTTAAGCAATTGTCCGTAGAACGAAGTACGGACATGGGAACAAATCCCTCTGATGCTGATCAGTCATGGTTATATTGACTTCGTACAGCTGGAGGCTATGTGTAACGGCGTAAAATATTTGAGATAAAGAAAATTACATACGAAATGCATAACACTGATCTAAAAAGTCCCAAGCCTAACACAGGGAACACGTTTTACATTTCACGTCTCACGTACATGAAATGGTATACTTACTTTGGTCCGAAGTATGTACATAAGTACCATCAAAACTAATGCCGATCGGGAACGACGAGTTGAGTTGATTTAGCCATGTCCGTCTATCCGTCTATTTGTACGAAAAATAGACCTTCAATTTCTGAGATATTTAAACCAAACCAGCACTGGCACTTTTAAGCGATCATTTGTCGTATATACGACATATATACGAGCGATTTTTCAGAGTTTAGATTTTGAGTAATATATTTGTCAAAACAAGCTATTTTTCATATATGAGAATTATACAATAATTTAGTAAAAAATCATAAATTTGATACGGTTAACATCGGGATGGATCTTCTTTCCTGCTTTGCTCGAGATTTCTTAACGAGTTCTGTGTACAGCCGATAGTCGCTGGGAGCCAAATCTCACGAATTCGGTGGATGTGGGAGCAATTCGAAGTTCAATTCATGTAGTTTTGTAATTGTTTTGACATTGACTTGTGACTTGTTTTGATTTTTTTCTGATGAAACAATGTTTTTTTTTTTTGTCATATGTGGACAAATTTGGGTCTTTAAACGCTGCAATAAAACTTTTTAATAGGGAGTTTTCATAAATTACTTCAGTCAAGAGGTTGGTTTAAATATAATAATATAATTATATAATTAATTAGCACGTGCCTTATGGACAATCCCTAAGGTAATCGAAGAATATTACACCAAGCAAATCCCGAAATACCGAGGTCATAACCTTTGCAGACAGTCGTTTTGACTCCGCATTGCAGTAATTGACCAATGTCGCATCCATAGTGATATATCGATTTAAAATTTCCGATTTGTAACGCTTAAACATAAGTAAAAACCCTCAGAACCATCACCGCCTTTCCATTTTTGATCAAAAGTGAACAAATGCCCACTTTGAATTGAACTTACTTACAGTCATTGGTTCAATACAATGCCAAAATTTTAACAGCTTTCTTTTGAGAATTAGTAGTAAATAAAAAATCGGTGGAAGCAATAAAACCATCACCATCTAATATATGATGAAGCCGGAACTTTTCAACCCATTATTGGAATATCATTCTTTACATAATAAGAAACAAATTCATTTAGCTGTGTACATATGTCTATTCGTCTGTCCGTGCAGTGGATACATGTATCTATATACATAAATATATGTATGTATATATATATATAATTGGAGCTTTGTAACCGCTGAAGTGATGTTTTTCAACAAATGGGGGGATTTAGAGTTTATACTAAGTCGCCTCCAAATGGCTGATGATTTTTATGAGGAGCTTTTATTTCATGTCAGAAATACCCTGTCGAGGGGGACCGCAATTAGAAAATTTAATTTTGGTTATTGGTCGAGCCAAGAATCGAATTCCGCCTTTCGAATGGCTGTACGCAATACTAACTACTCGATTATCGCAACCGCCAATTGTTGGAATATAAACTTACGCTAAACACTTCCACAAAAGCTCTGTAGATTTGCCTACATTCATAATAGATGAGTGCCAACTAAAAATAACTAAATTGGATTCCAATTAAGCACATCTGTTAAGTGAGAAATTCCCAATCTGTTCAAGCAAAACTAGTGTTTAAACCCATTTCTTCTTTACTTATGCACAGATTTCGATTATGCACATAAGTATGTATGTGTTTGTTTTACATTAAAAACGATAAAAACAGAAATGAAATATTGCACCAAAATTATGAGTTTAAAAAAGGTAAAAAACATTTCATACCGATAACCAACAATAGACATTACAGACCCAGTTTCTAATACGCAATTTGAACGCGAAACTTTAAACCAAAATGAATAGGATAAGAATTATTTAAATTAAAAAGCTTTCTTGCCATTCATAAAATAAAATAAAATAATAACAATAAAAGTATAGATTAACCGTCACAAACATAAGTATTCCACATAGTATGAATTTATTAATAAAAGCGAAGAAACTGACACATAAAAGAGGTGAAGAAAGAGCTATATGGTCATGCCGAAATCTGTATACCTTTCATGAGCGCATCAAATTTGTGGTATTTAATTAAATTATAATTCTTGACTTTTCAGAACTTTAGTCTGCTTGGGCTTATGATGAAACTTCCCCATTTCGATGGTTTTCGGTGGCAATTTTCATTTGTATATACACACTTGGACACGCTCTTAGATGCTTTCGTCTAATTCACTTTCGAGGATAGCCAAAGACTACAAAAATTATTAGTTTCTGTACCTCACCAACAGTCAGACAGACAAAAGTAAAGTAAAGAGTGGAAATTGTTTCACCTCCACATACCAGAAGAGCCTGAAACGCAGGCTCACATAGACGAAGGCACCTGGAACATAATCAGCTTACTTCGATCAATACCTCGGCAGCTTAAGATTTTTGAGGACCTTAAAGGCAGTAATGTGATAAGCATTAAAGGGCGCAATAAACCAGTGGTTACGATGCATATCCTACGGGTCTATCTATCATCCAAGCCCAATGTAAGGTGAAAACGTACTACCAAAGGCTCACGCTTAGAATACATAAATTCATCAATATATCAATAATATAGTTGTTTTTGCCTCGGCAATGCCTTATGGGTTGACCATTTAATGGCGTTTAATTCTTTCACTTTTGTTTGATGACCACATAACACGCAACACCTATTTATCTAGTTGTTGGAAGCACCGGCCATTTGGAAAGCATAATTACATACAAACATGCGTACGAACACGCAAGTATATACCACAGCGTTGACTTGGAGTCAGAACAACTGTTAGCTGAAGTAAACGAAACGACAAGTCAATGCTGGACTAGTTGGCGGTGTTATATACATAAGTAACATATTATACATATGTATGTACGTATATGTACGTACCTGAAAATGTTGCCAACAAATGGATAAATAGGTCAGTAGGGAAATTGTATGTATGTATGTTTTTGAGTAGTGGCAGTATGAGCGCCAAGAATCCTTAACTTTTGACTACTGTTAAGAAGTATGCATGTACATAAGTAAGAGCGTGTGGCCATATAAAACGAATTCTATAAGTGGTAAGCTCATTTGTTATCGTTGGCATTTTTTTCAACTCATTGAATATGCTTTTAGTAAATTAATATAATATAAAATTTTCAAATCCAAATTAAGTTACTTTTATTTATTCTTAATCACCACATAAAGTTTATTCAACTCTATTGATACGTATGTAAGTACATACGTATGTATGCATGAGTGTATTCATTTGAGCGGCAAACAGGTTTAAAACGTTGCACATTTAAGCTTTTCATTGAAGTTGATGAGAGTTACGGTTTTTTTTACCAAACGTTGAGTTATTGCTTTTTTAAGTTTTACAGTAAAATACATCAACCGAAATTCTTTAAAGACAGTAGAGAACTGTTAGTGGTGCTGTAAATTGAGCCGAATGCCCTGACAAGTTTGTTGCTGCTTTTGTTAAGTTTTGTTGACTACACTTTAAGATTTCTTCCCACTTCCTTTGAAATGACAGAGATGTCTTAGCAATTAAGCTTCTTTGAACATGGTGGATTTGAGAGAATTCCACAATTCGGTTTTAAATTTCTTCATGGACCTATTTTGACACCACTGTTCTACTTACCGTTTGTGATGGTGTTTGAAAGCAGAGCCTTCCTTTTGCTTATGCTTCCGAGTTTATATTATATTTCGTAAGGAAATCGGTATTAAAACAAGATTGTTTTAAACTTTTTCGCTTGACCTTTAAATTCGTCAAATGGAAAAGGGAGGAGCCGTACATACGTAGCCATTGTAGCCCACTCTCTAAGTACTACATATGTATATATGCTAAAAATTATGGTTTAACTCGCTTTGTGTTGCATTTCCAGATTTGCAGGCAAAGCGAAAATAAAATAAACTGTTATAAATATTAATTATTGTGAAAGTTTAACTAATTGGCAGCTACAATAGTCGAGTGGTTAGCAATGTGTAAAGCCAACCAACCACCATCCAAAAGTAGTAGAAAATAAACTAAATTAAAATTTAATAAAAATATTATTTTACTAATTTCGGTCGCCCACGGCAGTTTGATATAAAATTAAAGCTCTTCAAAAAAAATCCATCAGTTGTAAACGTCAAAATAAATTTATTACACAACGCGGCACCCAAGTTCTATCTGCCATCGGCTTAACAAGTTTAGTTGTCACCGATTTTTTTGCTTGCAAGTTTTCAAATATGTTGTATGCAAATACATATGTGCATATGTATGTATATGTACATACGTATGCATGCACTATACAAGTGCAATGTATTGATAATAAATGTGGAAGTTTCAATGGATGTAAATTTTAGTAAAGGATACTGAATTCAACTGATTGCATGAATCGTATTTCATTATGTTTGCTTAATTAAAAATTTTGTACACTTAAATAATAATTATTTGTTGATAAGTTGTTAAACAAAAGTATTCTAGGTTTACGCCAACACCTGTGCAAAACGGATGTTAATCTGTAAGCAAATGCAACAGGAAATCAGCAAACATACAGTTATATACACATACAATAGTATATATTTATGAAGGCAATAAGTTCCAATTACTCCTACCTTATTTTTAACAAACTTTATAGATACTTTTTCTTTGTAAATAGATATGTTACAAGTACACTTTCACAAATTTTACATTAAATGTTTTACGTTCACTTCGCGATCTGACCGTCTGAGCTGTTTTATTTATTAATTAAGGATTAGTAACACCATATCAATACTATGCGGTTTTATTAAAAATAATGAAATTTTCATTATGCACAAAATTGTGTTTGATGTTTTTCACTTCACTAAAATTACTACGAAGAATAATAATAGAAAATAGAAAAGGTGATGATAAACGAAATAAGTTGGCAGCAATGTTTGTTGACATCAAAAAAGGGGTTAATGAGGTGCAAACGTGGGCAATTATTCTAAGGAGAAAAATAATGTTTAGCCATAATCTTACAAAAAAACATCCATTTTTCAGCAATGCTTATTTGTAGCAATTTAAAAAATGACTATAACTTACTCAAAATTTATTTAATAAAAATTTTCGTAAAATTTTAGAATTTAATACCAACGAATACGTCTCTAAATGAACAGCTGATGGTGTGTGCAACAAATAACAAAAAAGAAGATAGTCTTTTTCGCCTAAACCTTTCAGATAAGATTTGTTTAGAGGAGGGGAAAATAAATAATTTGCGAGTGGATTTGAATAGAATTTCTATGAAAAATGAACTTAATTACAGCAATTAAATTGTATGTTGAAAAGATGTGCAACGAATCGGGACCAGGTATGAAAACCATACTTCTGGATAAAGAGACGGTATGTGGGCTTATCACACGTAAACTCTACAAGTATTCTAGAAAACTTATACTTATATATACATAATTTTTCCTCACTATAGACCAGTATAATATCCATGGCTTTTAGTCAGTCAGATATGTTACAAAGAGAAGTATACTTATTTGAACGACTAGATTCTGGGCGCTCGAATGAGCGCATGAAGAACCTTAAATGCATAGTTTTTATAAGACCTACTAAACAAAATATACAACTTTTGGCCGATGAGCTACGCAGCCCCAAGTACGGATCGTATTTCATATGTAAGTATATTTACATGAATATTGTTCATCTAACATATTATAACTTAAATATAATCTTTTAGATTTCAGTAACATTATTCCACGTACAGATATTAAATATCTTGCAGAATGTGATGAAAGTGAGTCAGTGCGGGAAGTGAAAGAAGTATATGCAGACTACCTCTGTGTGAATCCGAATTTATTCTCACTCAATATAAACTGCAGCATGCATCGACTTAATTGGCTACCTGATGCACTGAGTCGTACAGTACAAGGTTTATTGGCTGTGTTATTATCACTGAAGTTGAATCCGGTTATACGTTACCGTGCGGGTTCAATAGTATCACAAACCTTGGCAAAGCAAATTTATGAGCAAATTTGCAAAGAGTCAAGTCTCTTTGATTTTTCGCGCACACACGAAAATGGTGCTGCACCACCACTATTGCTTATCTTAGATCGACGAGATGACCCTGTTACACCACTTCTGCACCAATGGACGTATCAAGCAATGGTACATGAACTTTTGAATATACATAATAATCGCGTTGATCTTTCCAACACAGCCGGTATACCGAAAGATTTTCGTGAATTGGTCTTATCCGGCGATCAAGACGAGTTTTATGCTAACAACATGTACGCCAATTTCGGCGAAATTGGGTCCACAATTAAAAACTTAATGGAAGAATTTCAACGCAAGGCCAAAGATCATAAAAAAGTTGAGAGTATAGCTGATATGAAGAACTTCATTGAGACTTATCCTCAGTTTAAGAAGATGTCGGGTACGGTGCAGAAGCATCTATGCATAATGGGTGAACTATCTGCCCTCACCACAAAGCGGAACCTCTTCGAAGTATCCGAATTGGAGCAGGAGGTTGCTTGCAAAGCAGAGCACTCGGCACAATTGCAGCGTATACGAAAAGTTATAGCCGATGAAAGGATATCGATAGATGATGCAATCAAATTAGTGGCGCTTTATGCACTAAGGTATGAAAGGCACGCCAATTGTGATACTTCCAGTTTATTGCAGATTATAAAGACCCGTGGCGGCCGTACAGCGATCATTCCAAGTTTAATCGAGTTTGCGGGTACACATATGAGACAAGGAGATATATTCAATTTAGTGCGCATCTCAGATGCCGTCAAACTAACACGTAATTTAATTAAGGTAGTGCGCAAAATTTTATACACACATATATACACATGTATATAATCTTACATAAATTGTGAGTAATAAAATTTTCTTTTTAAAGGGATTGAAAGGTGTGGAAAATGTTTTTACACAACACACACCGCTTCTCAAAGAGACCTTGGAAGAGGTTTTTAAAGGTCGTGAACTTGAACCCACATACCCGGCAATTAACTCTGAGCTTGTACCATTCCGTCGCCCTCCTCAGGAAGTGGTTGTATTTATAATTGGAGGTGCTACATATGAGGAAGCGTTGGCAGTGCATCACTTGAATAATGCGGGATATAAAGTTATACTTGGTGGTACAACTATACATAATTCAGAGAGTTTTATAAGCGAAGTATTAACTGCTACAGAAGGCATACAATTTAAGCACACTAAAACGATGACAAAGTTCATTTCCAGTGATAATTATTGAATTATAAACGTGATTGACATTTAAAAGTAAAGGGATGTTAGAATACTATATTCGATTGTATTTATCAAGCTGATAAACTGTATTTATTATTTATCTTCTAATATAATATTCATATATTCTAGCTAATATTTGTATTTATTGTTATTTACATACACTTACGTATTGCATAGTTACTAAATACATATAATTTACCAAATGTCCCTTTTGCTAAAATTTAGGCAATTCTTTAAGCGTGGTGAATTACTTGCCATAACCATGTACATACATACATACACGATTGTGTGTTTGCAGATATGAAATTTTTTTATTCAACGTTTCGCTTGCCCTTTGTTTTCATCCAAACATTTTTCAGTTCACTGTGTTTTTTCAATAATTTTTAGCAAGTACTTGCAGTTTTCTCATATTATATTTTTTCTGCTCAAACTATAGACGTGTTTTGAATTCTATTTTTCAAAAAAAAACCTATCAAATCCTTAATTACTTTCATTAAAATATTAATGTGCGACTGAGAAAATTTTTCTGCTTAAGTTTCCTCAAAAGTATTTCATAGCAAAAAAATTTTGTATCTTTGTATGTCGATCTTTTAGACAAATTTATTATGATTTATTTTGTTTTAGTAGCCATGAATCAAACAGATGACCTCTTTTTACTTTTATCCTATTTGCCGCAGTAATAACACATATTTGCAGAAAACTGTATATACGTATGTATGCATGTTCGAGTATTATTCAAATATTTAAATAAATTTATTGATATAAAATTTTTTTAATTTAGTCATAGAATGCGTTAACACATCTTTAGCATTTGCCAAGTCAATATTGTTATATATATTAGGTTTTCTGTAGACGGCGTGTGGCGCGTCGTATTGGACGATCTGTGGCTGCACCACCGCCAACTCCATTTGCCGGTGTAGGTGAAGCGAAAATATTTGCAGTAGAAGACGACGCTGTTAACGTTGCTGTTGCACCGGCTGAGAAATTGAAGGGAGCTGCAGTGCCTTGCTGTGCGTTGGTCGCATTTTGTAATCCGCCACCAAATATGCTGTTTGGATTTGGAGTCTGTACTGCTGTAACGTTACTGTTGCTACCGAATGAGAACGTTTTATTGGCTGGCGCACCGCTGGTACTACCGCCAAAACCAAACGGGGTAGCGGTAGAGGACGCAGATTGATTTGTGTTTGCTGAACCACCGAATGCAAATGGCGTTGAGCTAGATGACTGCGCACCCACTGTGGCCGTTGGTTTATTGCCCATTGCTCCAGAAGCAAATGAAAATCCGGTGGTTGATGGCTTGTTGGTAGTGGCACCGAACGAATTTGATGTAGTGTTGATGCTTGAGCTATTTGTATTGCCGCCAAAGCTGAATGTTTTTGTGGTTTGATTGTTGGCAGCGTTTGAAAGCGCACCAAATGCACTGCTGCTACTTGAGTTGTTAGTTGCGCTTGTTGTACCAGAGCCACCGAATATAGATTTCGCAGTATCCGAGGAGGTGCCACCAAAGTTAAATGCAGGCTTGGACATGCTTGATGCTGCGTTATTAGGAATCGAAGCTGCTGCTGCACCAAATATGTTAGTAGATGTTGCGTTGTTAACAGGAACGGTACCAGTAGCGGCGGTGCCAAAATTAAATCCCCCGGAGGTTGTGTTGCTTGCCGGTGCTACAGTAGGTGCTGCCATAAGGTTGGTCATGTTGGTGCCTCCACCAAATGCAAAAGGCGTTACCGAGGTCGTGGTAGGAGCTCCGAATCCAGGTGCTGAAGGCGCCGCACTCATTCCTCCAAATGCAGGAACCGTACCTTGGCCAGTGACCGATCCAAATGTAAATGTGTTTGACTGAACGGGAGTAGGTGCAATTGTTTGCGTATTGTTGGAAGGAGCCAAAGTGTTGCCAAACAGCTTGTTGTCGTTGTTTGCCGGTACCCCACCAAATGAAAATAGATTTCCGCCCGCAGTACTTGTACTCGACGCGCCTTCCAGCGATTTTGCTGCACCTTTATTATCACCACCGAAACTGAAAATCGCGTTATTAGCAGTAGCGTTTTGTGTTGCTGCGGTTGAAGGAACAGCCACAGGTGTCTGTGTAGTGGAACCAAAACTGAAAGGAGCTACCACTGTAGAAGTTGTTGTAGTGATAGTAGTAGCAGTTGATTTTTGGCCACCAAAAGCGAACAAATTGGTGGATATCGGAGCTCCAGCATTGCTGGTAGCTACCGCAGAACCACCAAAAGAAAAAGAAGGCTTCGCCGCCAACGAGGAGTTGCTTAGAGTTATATTAGGGGCAGATCCGAGAGTCGGCATAGTAAGTTCACTGCTCGTTACGATACTGCCGAATGTATTAGCGGACTGTGCTGTAGATGCGGTTACTTGAGTATCCGTCAATGGAACCGATGGTTTTGGTGAATTATTTGTAACGCCCGCGAAAATGAATGCTCCAGACGTGACAGCGTTAAACCCACTTGCGGTTGTAGTTGTGGTACTGCTGCCAAAGTTGACAGTTGGTTTCAAAACTGCTGCCGTTGTGCTAGGTGGATTCGAACCGAAGGCCAATAATGGTTTTAATGTTTCTGAACTCTTGGAATTGGATGTAGGTGTAGTAGAGTTTGCAAACCCACCAAATGAAGACGTTGCTGCTGCTGTTGTCGCCGCCAATGATACCCCCGATTGCTGATTTATTCCAAACTTAAATCCGCCTACACGTTCTGTGGTGGTTGGCTGTGCAGCCGTTGTTAAGCTTGTATTTGTTGAAGCTGGAGGCGAAGTACTGCTTTTTGTGGTTGTGTTGAAGGAAAAGCCGTGAAGCTGAGGCAGAGCTGATGTCGTACTTGTAACCGCTTTAGAATCGATAGCTGGAGCCGATGTGGTAGTGATAGCACTAAAATTGAAAGTTGGCGCAGTTGAGTTTCCAGTCATTCCAAAGTTAATTTCCGGCTTCTGCGGTGTTAATTTCAAACCGACTAAGGGAGATGTTGACTTAGCCGGTGTAACTACTGGTATTTTTGATGTAGTTGTGTTTGTTGTGATTGAGGTGTTGGCTGTAGATGCCGTCAATTTAAAACCACTCAAAGGAGAAGACATTGTTGTTACTGTTGATGTGGTCGAGGATCCTGGCATTGAGCTATTTGATGTTGCTGCCACGGAAATTGATGTGACCGCGGAGGTGTTATCCGATTTCGACAAAACTTGACGTGGATCAGATGTAGTTGAAGTCACCGACTTATCTGGCATTTTCATAGCAAAACTAGCCGGCGTGGTTGTTGTGATTGTGGTTGCTGTTGAAGCGGATGTTGAGACTACTTTGCTAGTTTGTTTATCTGTAGCTGTAAGAACGGTGATTTGTGTTGTAGTTTTACCTGAGTCTTTATCTGAACTTTTATCCACCTCATCGTCGCCATTTTCACCTTGATAAATTTCACCACGTAAACCACTAAGCATCATTGCTAATTTGGATTTCTGTGTACGTTCAATTAGAGGATTTTTTTTATTGACTATGGCAGAACTTTTCTTCGGTTTCACAAATTGAATATCTGCGCATTCGCCGTAATCTTGGTCGACTGAATTCTTCAAAACTGTTTTATTATTGTCATTGACGTTATTCAAGCTTGTCGATTCATTATAGTTGCGATTAAAAAGCGTTACTTTAGGTTTTATGGTATATTTTCCAGTCTCCAAGTCGCTGCGTTTTGCCGAAGTTGTGATATCAACAATTTCTTCAGTTGCGTTCTGTGTGCTACTTGGAACAGGCGGCATATTATTATTTTGCGATAAAGGTGTCGCCGGTATTGGAGTTATTGGGCTATTACAACTCAAACTATGTTGCATTTGCTGGAAACGTAGATCCGATTGTTGACGATGTATCTTAGATTTTTGCGTTTCATAATCTTCAGTTGCATTCGTTGGGGAACGTTGAATAGTTGAACGTTGTTGCTGCTCGTAGAACTTCCTTTTGTTTGCATGTATGAGGCTGGAACTTAGAGAACTGGTTATATCATTGTTGTAACTACAAAGGCGCTTCTTTGCAATTTGTTCGGGCGAATATTGAGCTTGTAGTGGTGGACGTGCAGTTGGATAATTGGTTGCACCGGAAACACTGTTCATATTCTGAGAGTAGTTTATGGGATATTGCTGTGGCGGCAATATATGCTCACGTTGTCTTTTATAACTTTGTACTGGTGACGCCATTGGTGGAACCATACCATGTATTCCCATGTTGCGAGTAGCCATAGGTGCAGCTGATGGATCGTAGGGTGCATCGCTGCAATCTCGACTACAGTATTTTTTGTTTGCATCGTGAATAGGCTCCGAATCCTATATAAATATAAATTAATATCTTCTAATTTGCATTTTTTAAGTAGTCAGCATCATACATCACTATTTATACGTTTGCGTGATATTTCTTTTAGAACATCGAGTACACTTCGAGTTGGCGCCAAGTCATTTTCCGTTGGAGGTGGGTGTAATATGGGACGATTCTCGCAAGATATTTCCTCATCGCTCTTTTGTACGCTAATTACAGAATTAGATCGCAGTAAACTTGATAGGGTGTTGCCATAAAACGTAGGTTTTTCTAAAAAAAAAATTATAAACAGGAGTTACAAAATAAAACTTCATAAAATACTTTATATTAACATAAATACTAAAAGCTTACTTGTTGGCGCCATTCTAGTCATGGAAACGTTTTGCTGTGTAGCGCGATAGGGTAAATCACTTTTTTGAAGTTGTGTAAGAGAAGATTGTCCAGATTTGTTATATAGGTTTCCCGCGGACATGCTGCGGTTTAGACGGGCACCATTTTCATGATATTGTACTATTCTAGACACTAATCCACGACTTCGCACATCTGCATATGTTCTGAAGAAATAAGTTTTGGTTATGAAAATTTTACAGCGAAAAAAATAATATTTTTTTTTACCGTGGATCTATTTTGCTCAGGTCCATTCGGCTACGTTGTGGACTATTAGCTGTAGTTTTGTTTTTATGCATTGAAATTGCGTTTAAGCAAATACTTGAATTGCTACGATGTTTCGGGCTAATGGGAGTGCCACCCCAACGAAATCGACTCTCATCACTATCGAATAAAAAATAATTTATAAATACCATACTTTAATAATTCTTCCGTAGCCTCACCTTTTATTACCACCGCCTACGCTAACGCTAGTGCCATTAATATTTAGACATGTCGACTCTGCAATTGGATTAGGCAGTTGAGTCATATTTAAACTGAAGCGTCTATCCATTACTCCATTTCTGTCCATGACGGTACCAAGTAGTACTAACAAACCAGTTCTCGGGTTTCAAAAGCTAATATGGTTTTAGGGCCGCGCGTTAACATGTACTCTACTAAGCACAATCAATAAACACTCGACAAAATCTTCTAAGGGTAAATTTAATCATTTAAAATGTAATAATATTATAAAACTTTAATAAACACATATTTTTTGACTAAATTTCACAAATATTTGAAAATTTCACAGGCAACGTGATATTCTTATAGTGAGAAGTCAAATTATTAGTCAAACAGCAAATGGTATTGCCAACAGCGGAATTGGAAACGAAATAGTGCTGCCACACTTTTCATAAATAACGATTTCCTCATGATTTAACTCAAGAATGTTCCGAAAGAAATAGATGTTTTGCAATCCAATCGGAATTGAGAAGTTCAAACAAATCGCAAGTCCGGTTGGAAGTTTAAAAATTTAACTGTTTTGTTGCCAATTGATAACATTTTTTATCAATCGCCGATGGACCGCATTCATTAAGATATTCATAAGATTACGCAAACTAGAGAGCACGTTCTTGACAGTTAATTTTAATTACAAATTCGTACTGAGAAAAACCATTTTAACTAACAAGAGTGAAAAAAGGTTGATTTGAGTTCATACGGATGCATTTTTGGCAACAAATCAAATATTTTTAAAAAAGAATTTAATATTGATACTTTAATGATGTACTAGCAAAAGTTATCAAATTTAATTTAATAGAATGATATACACGATTCAATTAAAAGTACATAAATATACCCTTTCAACGAAAAAGTCGTGGCAGGAAAGTTTAATCATCATCCACACACAACATACATTGCCCAATTAAGTTAGCCTTTAACCAGATAGTGAAAACGGCTCTGAATTGAGGAAGTATGGAATTCAAGACTGTTAGAGAGGAATCATTTTTTTAAGCAATTTTATTGTCCTTTTTCCTTTTACAAAAAAAAAAAAAAAATAAAAAGTTTTAATGAATTTAATCTTGTGGAGCAATTTATAGAACTAATACATTTACCTTAGCGGAATCCATTGAAAAATGCAAAAAAAATTTATATAGTACTTAAAAAAAAAGACGGTATTTTAATAGAAAAACAGTTGTAATTAAGCGTATCCTTAAGTAAATCAAACGGGTTGATAAATGCATTAATGACATAAACGAAAATATGTAAGTAAATGGATGGACTATTGGATGTCTAAATCAGTCCTTTTTTTCTTTAGCACAATTCTTAATCACTCTTTCGAAGTGTAAATGCAAAAAGCAACCGACGATACGTAAGGGTCCCAGCAAGATGGCGTGTAAGATGTTTTGAAAAAATCCACCCCATCGGAAAAGGCCACCTCCTAGTAATGTAAGAAACCAGCTCTCTGCACCCAAAATCGATATAAAATTGCCTTGCTGATATAGAAAAATGGTTTAATAATTGAATTGATTTTTTGTCTTTTTCAAATTACCAATGCATCGTTAAGTATGCTTTTAGCAACATGTTGTGGCTCTGCCAAGCCTCCACCTCCCGAAATTATCTTTGTTTCTTTCGGCTTAGTCTTTTCTTCATTTTCAAAACCGGGTGTATTAGTATCTGCTGGCAAAGCTAGTGTGACTAATACACCTAGATGACGAGTTTCCATTGCGATAGTCTCGGCCATACCACGCACAGCATATTTTGACGCAGTGTATGGTCCATAACCGTAAATTCCGAATAGAGCAGCTAACGATGATGTAAATACAATGATACCCTCATGGGCATCTTTCATTTTAGGCAATACATAACGGGTGCAATTATAGCTCCCCCAGTAATTTATATCCATAAGCTTGCGCGCATCTTCCACTGAAATATCTTCATACACACCGCATATTGCCATGCCAGCACAATTAACCAACATGTATATGTCACCTAAACCTTCTTCAATTTCCTTAAGAGCATTTGCAACATCGTCATAGTTTGAAGCAATGTCAAGACAACGGTATTGGAATTTTTGATCTGGCCTTTGCCGTATAAGTTCCATAAGGGCTACAGCCCCACCTAAATAGATAAGATAAAATTTTATTATCTTTCATATAACATACTCTTATGTGTTCATATGAATGTACACAAGTCCATATGTATATGTGTATTAAACATAGATATGTTTGGGAAAGTGATTAATCTAAAATAAGACGGAAATTAAACTTACTAAGTAACTTTTCATCACGAGCAATTACGGTTACATTTGCTCCTTTCATTGCACACTCTACGGCTAGGCAAAGACCAATACCACGAGAACCTCCTGTTATAACCACATGACGACCCACCAACATTTTTGGTTGCTTACGCATTACGAATAAATACACTCCAACATGAGCCAGAATGGCAAGCGATATCCACAACCATGTTTCGAATGTGAACACCATGATAACTATAGTTTATAAAATAAAGTTAAAAATCTGTAAGAAACGTTATTAATGATATCAAACCTTTATCTTAATTGTGGCGAGACGTGATTTCAGCAAAGGAAGTAAAAATGTGAAAACACTCTCCTTCAAAGTTAGAAAGTTGTTGGTTGTGTTATCATTAACTTGATTTTAGTCACCGTAAACTGCTCTGGAATTAGTGTTGAGAATTTATCTCAAAATTCAACTACACCGATAAATTATTAATATCACAGCTTTTTTAACAGTAGTTATAATTAAAATCACAATTTATTGTAAAATAAATTAATTGGAAAGTGATAGGAAGTGATTATCAGAGTAATTATTGTTATATCTTGTAAAGAGTATCGTTGCCACAGTTACATATCGGTATTTTCATAACATCAAGCGAAAGTAACATATTCAATGCACTATTTTAATAACAATGCATTCTTTTTTAATTTTAATGCAGATATACATTTAAACGCTTTGTTTATAACTTTTCCGGTCTTATTTAATCCAAATCAAAGATTTTTTATTGTATATATTAAATAAACTGTTGCGGGCGCTCTCTGCTACTAATAAAAAATTTTGCATTGTGAAAAATATTTAATTTATTGCTTTAATGCAATCTTACTGAAAGTAATTCTTGTAACCGAAACTCTTTATTTTGATAGGACAGACTGACAACGGAAAATGCAACGTACCAAATGTTTCGTCTTCGGGAAACTCTTTTGTGTTCTCACTTGTCGTTGTAAAACTTGTTTTTTCTTTTCTCATTAGTTTTACGACACCTGAATTTTTGGTGCTATCATAAGATTTAAATGAATGTTTGATAATTTAAAGAATTAAAAACTTAAAGCTTAATTAAACGTAATTATACAAAATGTCTCCGAGTACAGATGATTAGCAGAGAACCTACAAAAACGACTGCCTGCGAACCGGTTTGTTAACCGACGAACGAAATAGCAAAATTGGCTCTGTTGGTCAACATTTCCTATCGAAACAATAATAAGTTTCCATAAAAATGTAAATCTGTATTCAACCTAACACTGCTATATGTTAGATTCTAAAAACAAATTCATGTGATAACTTATCGTTACATAGTTTTCAAAATAATATCACATTTTTAGAGTAGCTATGAGATATAGCATTAAAGTTATTGCCAGAAGCAAACCAAGTTTCCCCGCCTAAATTTAGTCTTCATTTCTTTTCATTTCATGATTCATTTATTTTAATTGTTTTGTATATCGACAAACACATCCAACTTCATTTGATTTTCGCTCTGTATATCTTGTCAGAGAGAGTGAAAAAAATAATATTGACAGTTTGAAGATAAAATTTTTGCAGACGATTTGTTTTGTGTGTTCACTTTGTAAATTCTTTTTAAAAGCATTAAAATAACTTAAAGAACAATGAATTCTAGCATAAGTATAGAACGAAAGCGCGTAGATTGCAATTCATTACCAAAAGGCTGGCAGCGAGAAGAGGCACTCCGGAAATCTGGTATATCAGCTGGTAAAGTTGATGTTTTCTATTACAGGTAAAATTCAACGGTGCAAATTCATTAAGTTTACTGCAATAATAGCTTTAAAAAAAGCATTGTAACTAATTTGTCATGTATTTTCATCCACCTTCACCTCAACCATTACACCTGTGCAATACACGTCCTTATGCGCGTTCACACAAAATGACAACTTTATAATGCATACAAATACAAATCCTGCACGAATTTCTCATCCCTCTCATTTTGAATTTATCCCTTCTAATGAATAAAAAAAAACTATATATACATATATACATCGAAATAATAGTCCTACTGGCAAAAAAATTGAAAGCAAACCACAATTAGCACGATATCTAGGAGATGCTATAGATATTGGTGCATTTGATTTTCAAAGCGGCAAATTCGTGCGTCACATGCCGCCACCATCAATTTCCTTGTTCCGCTGCAGTAATGTTATCGGCAGCAATTGTGCTGGCAATGATAATACATCAATGCCTCCACCACCACCACAATGTAGCGGTGGTAACACTCTATCCCTATCCGTATGTTCCTCATCCATTTCTTCACAAACCCCTAATACAAATGCCAATATACTACAATCACTTACGTCAACAACAACATCTTATACTTTGAAGCGCAAATATAAGGCGCAGACCCATTCCCAATCTCAAATTCAGAACCAAAATCAGTCACAGACCCATCTGTCACAGGGCATGTATACGAATATCAGTAGTAGCGCTTGTACCCCACCGAGCTCATGTGGTGCAGCAACGACGCCAACAGCGAGTTCACGTCAACAATTAGAACTCAGGTAGAGCGGAAACATAATAAATAAATTATTTTGCTTAAATTGATTTCATCATTAAAAAAAGAAATATTACCGTGTTACAGTTATTAAAATTAAAATGAGGAAATTGCATAATTATTTACAAGAATCGAAATTATCATATTGCATGTTTTTTATTTGCTATAAGTATGTCTTAACAAATAAAAAGGTTTGTTTTTTTTTTTTTGAATGTAGCCATGTGATCAACTCTTCATTTCGAAAGAAAGTTTAAAATTTAAATGGCATAATATGGTAGTAATTGGCAATTAAAATAAATGTATAAATACATGCGCATATCACTCTGAAACTTGTGGGTTTTCGTAACCCACTCTTTAACCAACTATGTACCTCTAGTCTTATGTTTTGGATGCTTTGCTCCCTTGCATGTGTCATTTATTTATTTTATAAGTGTTCTCAAATAATACAAATTGTCGATAAATGTATTCTAATATAAATCGTTTCGTATTTAATTGACATAGCCGCGCACCACGTACAGACGCGTCTCTGGTACCGCCCATACGTCAAACCGCATCGATTTTCAAACAACCAGTCACTGTAATGCGTAATCATGAGCATACGAAAGTACGTAATGACACTAGCAAGCAGACAAGTGGTCAAGAGAAACCGAAGCAAATGTTTTGGGAAAAACGATTAGAGGGTCTACGTGCTTGTCATCAAACTGGTGAGGAGTTTGATGATATCGTGTTGCCCAAAAGTATACGAACCATCGGCCCGAATGTTAATGAGCAGACTGTACTACAATCATTGGCTACTGCTCTGCATGTACTTAATGTACCTGTAATGGGCCAAGCTTCAACAAAGACTGAGATGAATAAAAATGCCACAGCATTTTTGAATCCTGAACAACCGCTTATGCAAGCTGTCCTGGTATCCGATGAGGATATACGACGGCAAGAGGATCGAGTTAGCGTAGCTAGAAAAAAGCTACAAGATGCGCTCAAGGCTTAAGTAAACCCTTTCACACCGAAGTTTTTTTATCTTTAGATTTTAATGTGTCCTAAAATAGTTTTATTCATATAAAATACTATACAAATGAAATTTTAAGCTAGATCAGAGAAGATGTATACATAGTTTTATACAAATTAAATTATGGTAAATTAAAACCTCTTGATTTTCTCTCAAATAATTCAATTTATTTTATTTATTTTTTATTTAATAAACTAAAACTTAAAGCGACTAAATATAACTTGGCGGTAAACTACAACATTACTAAAATGTTCTGGTAAAATCAGTTTGTTTAAGCTATCCAAAATCAATATTTATGTATACAATTTTATTAGTTTGCATGCAGAATTTCTTAATGGAAGGCAACCGTTTGCTTTGCCGCAGGACAAATTAGTTAATCCATCTCATCGTCTTCCAACGTATCATCATCTTCATACTCCAAGCCATCATAATAACGTTTGGAATTGGAAAACTGAAAGTATAAGAGTTTATAGGTTTAGAAAATGAAATTAGTATTGCGCTTTAATAAACACCTGCTACTTCTCATTTCGAAAAACATTAATTTTCTCACTGAACATAAATATGTTTAAGTATTGTAGTTCATTTATATTTAAATTTTTTGGTAAAGATCTTTGAATTAGTAATCCATATCGTATTTGTAAAATCATTAAAAGAAAAATATATAGTTATGTAAGTATGTATAAACACACCTGTTTGTAGACACCACGCCAGGCGGCAAAAGTTCCCATGGCCACAACTGCACCAATCCCTGCTAAAATTTTAGTCTTCTTTTCAGACTCCAAGAAATGACGCTCCGTAGCTGTTAGAAGTGGATCATTGGATGATTGACTTTTAATGGCTTTGACTGAATTGAAAGCTTCATTTTTGAAAATGTCTTTTGTTATGCGATTAATGAAATTCACTAAATTTTGACAGCCTTTAATGTGATTTTGAAGTGGATTATTGGGCAGTGTAGTTTTAAAAAGTATAGCTAAATATGAATAAACAATAGCGTCGAATTCACTAAAGACATCACCGAAGAACCAGACTTTCTTTCCTAACTTTTTCGATAATAGATTAACACATTTTTTGGCATTAATGGTCAGCTGTAAAGAAAATCGAAAATTGAAAATGTGCGTAAAGTTAATTGGAAACAAGGATAATTCTAAACTTGCATACACTGTCACTATCATGATTTTCCAGCTTATCGCGCGGATCAAAACCGCTCATCACCATTACAATATCACAAGCCTCCCGTTGATAACTACTCGGGTAAAAGAAATTTAATGGAAACATTGTACGCTTCGCATACAGGCTGCGTGTGGTATCGAAGTTGTTTGGTTCGCCGTACATGAAATAGTTGTAGTATGAATGAAGATTAGTGAATACCCAATTAGCGTAGGCGGGTGAGAGCAATTCGTGCTTTACTTGAAGTTTGGCATCGATTGCAAATCCCTGTAAATGAAAGAAAAAGCAAATGAATAAAGTTGCCAATAGTACCATAAAAGATAAAACTATTACTAATTACTTATATTCAGTTTTTCTGATAAGTCAAATACTTCTACCGTTTATTACATTAATTCATTCGCAAAGCTGGTTTTATTGTCATTAAAACAAATAAATTTGAATGTGTGCACTTGTTTTAATTTGAATATGCACTCTGATATTTTGAGGTCATTGAACTCGTGTTTTAAAAAATATGCAATATTTGTGCGATCTTATTACATCTGTCAAACATTTAAACGCCCTTGATCGAATATCAAACCAAATTTTTACAATAACAGATTGTAACGGACAATATTTATCGATAATATTAAAACAACTATCTTAATTAAAAGTACCTAATGGTCTTTAAACGTCGAAACGAATACATGGTTCGGCGTGGGATACCCACATAAACATATAAGAATATTGCATAGTTTATTTCTCTTTTAAATTCGCTAATTACCTCTTTGTCCAACATCTTCTTGATCTCCCGGTATCCACAGAATCTTTCAGTACCAATCTGTATGTAAGGTAATTTCCCCGTACTCGAGCGCATGGGATTGACATTGGTGTCGATTTGTAGTGGGCATCGCGTAAACTTCACCAAGCACTGCAAATAAACATTCAATTATGCAAATATATATGCATATATAAATAAGATATAAAACAGATCTACATATCTGCATTCACTAATGCAATTTCGACGAACGGCTATCGGCCGTTTGTTGAGCTATTACTATTACTATTTTTTATAGTCAGTGTGATGCAACGTTTTCTAATTCGAAGGCAATAAGCTCGGCGCCGCTGTCGCTTCTTACCAGAGCACGTAGACAATCAAAGTCGATGGACGGCAATCCCCATTCTCCTTTGTAAACATATAGCACACCACCTAAAAGCATAATTCAGTTCGTCTCACACACGACTCTGCGATGGAAATGCATTTACAATTTCAAATAAAATTCCTTAAAAACTGTTATCACTAAATATAATCTGATTGGTAATTTATGTGTATTTCAATAGACTGCAATGAATGAGTACTGAAAAATTTGTTAGGTTAAGAACGTTAATAAAATCAGCTGATTTTAATCAAAACGGCAGGGGAAGAAAAACAGTGTTTGAAAACGAATTGCCTTCGTTTCTTTTGGTTACACCTTTCGTAAACAAAATAAGGCGAAGGAGAAAATGCAAAATGTGTAAAATACGCCGGCTGGGAATTTAGTTTCACATAAAATAAAAATATTTATTAGCAATTTTATAAGGTACTATTTTTCGTGTGTACTGATTAAACTAAATGATTGAAATAATAATCACTACAAAACCAATTTTAATAAAATTAGAAACATACAAGAATGCAATTTGGCCTCATTTGAAAGTAAACAAGGTAAAAAAGCGTTCCTGTTAATATTTTAGTTTCAATAGCCTATTATCGTCATTTAAAAATCATAAATATAATGCTGAATCATGGCATTGGTAAATTATGATAGCAGTTGTTCGTCTGATGAGCAAGAGGAAACAAATTTAGAAACGTTTGAAGCACCAAAATCAAAGATGCCGAAATTATCCGAGACAGCAGAAGATAAGAAGTAATTTTTATCTAAGATTCATTTGATTTCCAAATGCTAAAACATTCTATTCCACAGAGCTTTACCTTGTGCTGTCTCTTTATTGGGTGCAAAGAATACGGGCGATGTTGTGCATAATGCGCACGCAGATGATCCGACGGAGCACGACGGACGCGTTCGCAGTTTTAAACATGAACGCGGCAATTGGGCGACGTATGTGTACATAAAAGGTAATTAACTACTTGTCAATTTGCGTTAGGTAAAACAATAATTTTTAATAATATGAATTTTAAGGCTAATATAAATTATAAGTAGCTTCTTAAAAGAAGGAAGTCTAGAATCAAAACCAAAAACCTAATTTCGGTTAATGATTAGATAGTAATTACCATCGGTGGCCGTTTTAGTCGAGTGGTAAGAAGTACATACCATTCAGAGGGTTCAAAAATTATTATTTAAAAAATTAATTTTCCTCCTTCACAGCTGTCACTTCTACCATTTTTCTTTGTTGTATAACAAATATTCCATTCATACAAACAACCAGACCTCGTAGTTTACTTAATACTTATATCAATAAATTACTTATAGCATGGCCGCAAAAACAAATTATAATTTTTCTAGTTGGGGTAGCCCCAAGGTATTTTTCATTTGCAGTGCTAAATCATTGGTGATCTTTCTCTATTCGTTAAGTAACTGTTGCATATAAGAAAAAACGAAAATAAATTATACCCTCATTGTTCTAGCGATGTCCGATCAGTTGGAAGATATGCAGGAAGTAAGTCAGGGCGCATTAGCTGGTGTTGTGGACTGTTTACATGCAATTGAAGATCTACATATAAGCTTGAGCCGAACAGTAGTTCTCCAATATCATCATATCGATTCATTCGTCGAGTCGTTAAGAACTACTCTCGAAGTCAGTGGCAGGTACGTTTTGAAAGCATAAACATGTCTTACATAATTCAGATAGCATTAAAATTTTAAATTCTTAATACAAAATTTTGTTTTATCAGATTTATTTGATAAAATTTTACTGAAAACTAGAATCTTTTTTGTATTACTTTGGATAATTGAGTGGAATTCTATTTGCTTACGTTGTGTATAAAAAATCAAAAACAATTTCGACTTAAGATCAAATTTTTCAGACAACACATATGGAATGCATAAATATTTTTTTATTGATACAATTGATGATGTTAAAAAATGTGAAAATTAAATATAACCTGCTTTTTTAGCTTCTCCATCAGCTTACGACGCCTACACATCTACACAAACGCTGAGCGTACGCGCACATTTATTGCACTCAAAGTTGATGATATGTATTTTGAAAAAGTTCATCAACTTATGGCAAAAGTGGATGGGGTAATGAAGGAATATAGACTACAACTTTTCTATGAGGTATGTGATGACATTAATGGCATAAATGTATGTATCTATTACTTTTAGCTAAATTTGTATATTTAGGAGCCATCTTTTCACATAAGCTTCATGTGGTGTCTGGGCGACAAAGTCGCGGTGCTGAATGAACATCTGGACACTCTGAAGTCAGCTATAAATGTGGTATTGGGAGATAGTGAAGCAATAAGTTTATTTATTCACGAAATTAATTGTAAAAGTGGCAATAAGGAATTCGTGTTTAAACTTAAGTGAAGGTTAAAGTATATATGTACATATGTATGTACTACATATGCATATGTTTGTGTATGTTTGTGCATAATCGCATAAAAGTATTTCCTCTTAGAAAAAATACTTCTCTGGCATTTCAATTCATTTGTTTACTTTTTCTTGCCATTACTGCTTTGTTTGGCATTTTTCTCTTCTTCTTCTAAACGCGCCTCCTCTTCCATCTCCAACGCTCGTTCATAACGTCGGCCTAATGGAGTTTTAGACCACCAGTTGTCAAAAGCTTCTTCCTCCTCGCGATATACTGGATCACGAGTGCTGAAATCAAGTAATAAGTTCCAGTGTAGAATGTAAGGGATATTTATAAGTTATTAACCCAAAGTGGCAATACCTTAATGCATTGATAAGCTCTGCATGTGTTAGCGGTTGGGTACGCAGCTGAAGTTTACGCTTACACGTTAAAACTTCCTTCAGACAGGAATCTATCGCACCAATCGTATAACCATCCGATATCTTTGCCATTACACTGTAATCCAGAGTAGATATCCCTCCTGTATACTCACTGAAAGTCATTAAAAAAAAAAAATAGAATAACCATTAGCTTCGTTCACTAAACGCTCTCATCTGCTAAAACTCACTTGGCCAGTGCCTTCCAAGCGCTTGATCTTGCACCGTAATCTGGTCTGGGTATATAGATGAAGCGATTGTATGTTTGCTGAAATAGTTTTTGATCCGCTTCCCAGGGTAAATTAGAGGTACCCACAAAGAGTACGCGATCTTCGGGCGCAATATTCTTAATCAAACGTGGCAAATCCTTTTTTAAACGCTTCGGATCAGTGCGATCAGTTTTCGGCACTTTTTTCATGAAGGGACGTTCCGCATCGCCCATATATATGACAGCTGGTTGGAGTAAACGCGAAACTTTTGAAATCAAATGTATAAGCATTATTAAACCAGATTTTCCCGGATATTTGCCCACAATATTGGCTGGTGTTAGGTCAAATAGCACCGCGCCGATTTCAGTGCAGATAGCATGTAGTAGTGCCTTCTTGCCCGATCCCTTTGGACCGGCAAACAGGATGGAACGTATGAGTGGGGAAGAATTACGTATAGCCTCTGATCCTAGTGGCAATATACAATACTCTGTGAGTATTTGACGAATGTCACCAGCCGATGGATTAGTTCCAGACCGTTCACTCAAAGCCTTATCGCCTATGTATTGACTAAGTCTCACTTCCGGATATTTGCGTATAATACCATTGGTTACCAGCTCTTCGTAGAGTGACTCTGTTGTACGATCGGGCGTAAGGTCTTTTTCCTTCTTCTTTTTACTCTTCTTACCAGAACGTCGTGTTTTCTTACTGCTCTTCTTGATCTTCTTACCGATGGCAGTCTAGGGGATGATTGTTTCTTGATAATTTGCTTGGAATAGTAGAAGACCTTTCAATGTACCTGTAGCAATTCCAGTTCTTGGCGCATAAGTTCATCCACCGTGCGACGACATTCTAGTTCTATTTCCATATATTTCTCATGGTAAATCATGTCATCGTACTGTACCTGTGCCAGGTTACCGGTTTCGTCTTTGTTTCGCCAAATTTCATTGAATCTATATACATACATAGATTAGATTGCAACCGTTATCGATAGATACTCGGCAGGACCACCCTAGTAGGCAACAGTAAAAGGTCTAGCATTGGGCTAATATACAATGTTATCAGCGCACCTGCCTATGACCTTTCCCATTTCTATGTCATAATCATATTTCAATAACAATTGCATTATTAATTACTGAGCTAACGCACTTGTTATTCCTTTTTCACCGTTATGTACGCACAGTTCATATGTTTTATGCCTCAAAAAGGCAGGTGAACAAAAATTATATAGCCATCATCCATGTACCCAACTCAGTTAAAAAAGTTTTTCGAAAATTTGAAAATTTTAAGGTTATAATTGATCAATAATCTACTCACTCTTCGATTGCTGTTTTTATGTCTGCGAGCAAAACCGACTGTCCAGGATGAAAGTTCTCGCCCTCCGCTTGAGTATCGTTCACATTTAAGTCACCACTTCGTGCTGGTGATTTCGATTTATCTTTAGTTTTGCGGGACTCCTTCGAAGAACGGGCTGAAGAGCGGCTTAGCTCGCTCTCGGTGCCTGACACGGTTTAATAAAATAAGAGTGTGAAGAATTAACCTTTTTTCTGTTTTCATCAATGTTTTTTCCTACCGGGCCGACTGAAAATGTGCAGTGAGCCGCCCTGCTCCTCGCTAGGGAATTCGGGCAATTTGCCTGTTTTTTCATAGCATTCCTTGATCCAAGCGCGCAATTCATCAGTTATATCCTCCGTTATTATAGCGCCTTGCTTACTCTTGATGTCCTCACGCACAGCGACAAGGGAGGCTTCGAGCTTTTGCTTGTATGCTGTTTGTGTTGCGTAGCGATGCTCGTAAATCTTGCGGTTCAAAACCAAACAAAAAAAAAAACAAACATACAAAAAATTCAAGGAGAAAACAGCTTTCGCCAAAAGATTTCTTATTTGTTTAATACCTCGTTTAATTTCTCCTCCTTTTCTGCCCGTTTCTTCAGCATTGCCGCCGTCGGTGGTACCATGCCGATTAAAATCATTTCCTCTTGCTTGCGTCTACGCGTGATGCGCCGTGCAGTATGGCCACGCCAGACCTTTTGTATCTTCATTGCAGCCAATAGACCCATATCACTGCGCTCCCTACCCTTTTCTTCGGCTTTGCCTTTGTCCTTCAGCATTCTTATCTCCTTCATGAAATGAGCACGAAGTCGGCCCTGCCGTGCGCGCTCATGCATCTGCAGTAGTCGTATAGCTTCGATTTCGCTTAGCTTCTCATCGCTGGGATGCTCCTCCAGCCAACCCAACTTCACAAGTATCTCGTGCATTGTCCGATTGCGTTGCTCGATTTCCTGTCGCCGTTCCCTTAGAAAGTAACGCGGTATATGCAATTCCGTTTCGATCGGTGTTAGTTGAAGTCTCAATACCACCGAATCATTGTAACTGAACTCCATTAGATCAATATTGACGAGGTCGTGCTTCAGTTCGATAACCCGTCCTAGACAAGCATCGAGCAGTTTGCGCACTAGCAAACGTTTCTGCGGCTGTATCATCTTGTCGTAGATTTCTTCCAAGCGGTTGGCAATGCCAATGTAACGCAAGTAGAATTCGAATACCGTGGACTGCATGAGTTTCTTGGGCTCGACTCCACTTTCCACATCCGGCAGAGACGATGCCAAAGCAGCGAGTTCCGTTTCAAAGTTCTGACCCTGCTGTTCATCTGCGGCCGCCAGAAGATCGATTTCGTGGTGCGTTTGATGCCAAAGATCATTGTAGTAGTGATTAGACATTGTGTTCGAGAACGATTTTAGCGTATGATAGGTAATGTAAAATGGAATCGGCACTAGTAGGAACTGAGTGTGGCTTTGAAGGAAACAAAACACGTCGCCTAAAATTGGTTTTATTTGGCGAACTATAACGGTTGCATCCATGACAACGATGGAAACCACGGAAACTCCATTTCAAGTTAAGCTCTCAAAAGCTTTAAAATGTTGCAAGCGGGTACTGTTTGCCATTCATGTACATATGTTTGTCAGTGACTATATATAAGAAGTAAGAAAGGTAAGAACTAAGTTCGGGTGAGAGGTTATTCGATATAAAAAAATAGAATTTCGTGAACAAAAAAACATTACTTGTCATTGTTTACGTTGTGATTCGTCCGGTCACTGGATGACAGGTAACCAATAGATACAGAGGTGCGAAGAAGTGATTCAGTTACATATGGCTCAAGCAGCTCCCTATTTGCCGTTTTAGACCAAGTATCCTCCCGGTAGCCTACATAAATCCCTTTGGAAACGAACTAAAGTGAGAAGGCCTACCTTCTGTAGTGCGTAAGTTTGGAATCTCTATGGAATTCGTATGTAGGAAATTTTATTCAATAAAAAAAAGAAATTAAAACTCTAATGATAGACTCCGCTTATAACGATCGCTGATTTCTAACCGTTTTAGAGATGACGATTTGAGGCCATGCACCTGCGATGAAAACTCTCTTAATTAAGAAGGTGCTGGTGGATACTCATGGGGTAAATAAGGCTGATCACAGCGGTCAAATTAAATAGAGCAAGTTTGGTAAGTTTGGTGCTCGGTTTGTTGTAGGAGAACTCACTATGTGGATGAATGACTAACCACAATCCTCATCAAAGCGAAGTTTTTTAATGTTTTCCCAGATTTGAGCCTACACAAGAAGGTAATTTCGGGACAATAGTTGTATAATTCAGCATCCCTTACATAACCATTTCAAATAAACCGTGCCGGATTGACTTTGCCGGAACTCTTAATATAGTAGCACTACTTTTTGGTAGATAAATCTCCAGTGTTAGGGATGTGCTCCGACTACCTGACAAACGTTCATCAACAAAAACAAGAAATGTTTGAAGTTTAAAAGCTGAAGACACATCTGACGGTGAGACCGGGTTTTTGTTTGACTTGTACATCTGTAAACCTCTTCTTTGAGAGTCGATACGAGGCAACTGTGGAACGAGATTGCAAGCTCTTCGATAGAGATAGAGCTGGTACGTCGAGATGTGTTGACTGAGAAGAGAAAAAGAGTCGCGACAGCCAGCGTTCAAGAGGGAAGCCAAGTGCATTTAAAAACAGAAGAAGCAAAAGGTCGAAATGCGTATATACGATGAACTTGAAAAGCCGGTCCATAAAGGTAATGTTCAGAAATTCTATGAAATGTTGCGACGATTTACGTAAAATTCATGCTTAACCTCAGGCACTGGCTTATCGCTAACTGTGAAGATTTCAAGACCGCAGAATACTCATGTGGAAACTAAGAAGGGGATATGGTGAATATATTTCAGCTCATGCCGAGCTTATGAAGGGTACACAAACACTGTTAGCGAAGCACTTATCAGTGTGGCCTCAGTTCTGGTAGGTTTCACTTTGTGTGACACTACATTTTTTTCGAGCTGCCCTTGCGGAGCTATGCATGAATACAAATCAATTCCAGAATCGTAGTTAGGCTTCAGATAGGACCTCTCTCAATCGTTCAATATTAAATGGGGTTCAAGGAAATCTCTACTATCTAGAGGGGAATGATACCCTCTCGACTAAAAAAGAAAAAGCTTTAATTTTTCAGGTCCTACTTTGGTGGTTTCGGTGGAGGATAGCAACATTCAATAAGTCTGAATTCGCAGTAAAGCTTTGCGAAAGTTTTATTTTCCTTTGCCCATGGGATGACGACGGATATATGAACTATTCGAAATATTCGTCGACATTGGCATAGTTAAGAGAATAAAGAGGCAGTTGCTACATGTAAAAAGTCATATCATATGGTTTGAAAGTATTCAATGCAGTATCCGCGACTGGAAGCAGAAGAAGAGTAAGACTTACTTTACTGGCGCAGACACCCTTTACGGGATTTTGGCCGTTTTAACAACATTGCGCCATTCGTTTCTTCTTTTTGCAGTTTGGCGCCAATTCAAAATACCAAGTACAGCCAGGTCCTTCTCCACTTGGTCTTTCCAAAGGAGTGGAGGTCTTCCTCTTCCTCTGCATCCACCGCCGGATACTGCATGGAATACTTTCAAAGCTGGAGTAGCCCGACGAGATGCATGCCCGGCTTGTCGGGACAAGTGTCACAATAATACGTTGTTTGGTGTTTTTTGTCAAGTGAGCGATAGTCACCTCTCGAGTTGTGGTAGCACACCCCATGGTGAGTGAGAGCCACCTCTCGAGGGCAAAGGGTTAATCGTCGAACTTTTCCTTGTGGTTAGCCGAAGTACGTATGGTGACATCAAGTATGCGGTGCACTGTGCCTTCTATGATGTGTTGGATTTCTTTGAGTAAATGTCACTTTGTTGTGGATTGCATTTTTGGATCGCAACAGTTATGAAACGATAAAAAGACTTGAGAAAATCGTGTGAAATGAACTCATTTTAGAATGAAGTCGCATTACTTTGCTAAATGCAAGGACATTTACAACTTTTCCAAAGTTTAAGGGTAAGATCCAATTAAAAGCTCAAATTACCTACATATAACGGTACCAGATTGTAAAATGAGAACCTTTTACGACTTACAAGTAAAAAAAAAAAATTGCTGTATTTATTTTAATGAATAACACATTGCAATAATTTAATTTTGTTTCTTTTAATTTATTTGAATTTTTCCTTCCACATTGTCACCTCCATATTTTATATTGAATATTATTAATATTACATTATTATTGTGGTATTGTATTAATTTTATACGCTAATCAATTTATTATTTTATTTATTTATTATTAATCAAACAGTTAGTGAATTATTATCATAGTATATGTATGCATGTTATTTTGTATAGATATTCATAATATGTACGTATGTATATGTATATATTTATAAACTTCTATGTATTTTCATATCCGTATGTTCGTATGTATGCATGTACATATGTATGTACTAATTTTCAATGACGTAATCGTATGTACCTTTTTCACAATTCATTCACCATATTTCAATGTTTTAAGGTAGATACAAATATGCATGCTTATGTATGTATTGTATGTGGTAAGTGTACTTGTTTGGTTGTCGAATGGTGTATTTTCTGTTTCCTGTTTCCTTTAACTTATTATTTATTTCGCACTGCATGAATTCGATGAAATAGGATTATAACTACATATATATTTTCATTTAATATAAATTCCATTTTGTATTTTGCTTTCATGTATGAGCTTGCAGCTTAAATATCTTTTGTTTATTAATTTAAATATTTAAATTTTCTTTGTTTTCCATTTTTTCGACTGCCAAATAGTTTTACTTCATTTAAGCCCAAAAATATATACATATATACGCGGGCGTATGAGGTTTTAATATATGGTTAAGTGTAAATTGAATTCTTTGTGGGGCAATTTTTATTTCGAAACAGACAGTTTATTTAAAAAATGTACAAAAAAAATTCTTAGAAGTACAACAAAAGCCTTTTATTGATAAAAAAAAAATAATATTGATTACTTATTAAGATTCGGAAATAATTTTTCAATTTAGAAAAATGATTTTTGGATTTTCTTCAAAATAGTTTTTCCAAAAATTGCATCTGTACGCGAACAGCTGTATCTGTCAGCATTATAAATTCATTTTTATTATAATAGATTAACATCTAGCGCTTAATAGTGCAACTTTTTGCATTTAAGTAAACTTACAAACTTTTTTAAAAAGTGCTAGAAAAAAATGCCATACAATAAAATTGAGAAAAAGTGAAAAATTAAAGTTAGCTATGGGTTATTGAATGAACATGATATGACAATGAGTAGAGTTTGTGTGTTTAATTTTTCAGATTTATTTTCGTTAAAATAGCTTTGCACAATTAAAATTATTTACTTGTATTTTGGTATTTAATTCAAATCAACATTTTTTTTTTTTATTAAATTATAGTATTTTTAGCGCTATTATTCCATTTTTATTTTCGAATAATTGTTTTTGTTTTTATTTCTCACCTCACTCGTTTAACAAGCTGTACGCATTTATTTTAAATAATATACATATATTGTTAATTGCAGAGAGAGAGAGAGAGAGAGAGATGAAGAGAGGAGACACCTGGTGTATGAGTAGCGATATCGATTAGCGATATAAATAACAATTTATGCGTTGGCGCAGTAGAAATAAATAAATTTATGCTTTAAACTTATGCGCCTGATTCGCCCTTACCTCTAATTTTATTTATACACGTACTATTGTTAGACACAAACATAGTTGTGGAAAAATGACATTTTTTTTAATAGATCGCCAGTGTTGTTTTCGCCTTAAAAAAAATTTTAATTCTGATTTTATATATTCGTTTTCAGTAATAGTACCACTGCACTCATGAAAATTGTGTTTGTCTTACATCTTTGCTGTTTTAATATTTTTCACAAAACTATAGTGTTGCAATATCCGCTTTTAGTTTTTTTTTTGTTTTTATTTTGTTTTTTATTTTATTTTTTATTTGTCGCCGTATTGGCATTTACGCATGCAAATATTTGTGTACATTAGAAGAAAATCCATATAAACTAAATGCATTTTTATGCGAATTGCTGCCTTCTTTCATTGTTATTGTGTGTATTTTCACATACATAAACTTTACAAGTCCATATATATGTATTATTTTTTGTTAAACAAAAACTTTTAAGCAAATTGAATTTTTCGTCTACATTCATTTCCACAAGTATACAATAATAACTATATTTAGTAATATTAATAAAACATATACATACACGCGTATAAAAATGATCTAAACAAATTTTGGGTTTTATATATATTACATATATGTGTGTGTGATAAATAACATATGTATGTATATTGATTTATTGGTAAGTAAGCTTAGCATACGTGTACATAACATAAATTTGTCGCAGATGCAGTGGTAGTTAGTAGTAGTAGTAGTAGTAGTATGTCTATAGTTGCAGTACTTTGAAAATTGTGTTCTAGAACAACAAAAAGATATTTTAATAATAAGAAAGAAAACCAAATTTTTCCACTTAAATGTAATTATGAAAACTAAAGGTTTTATTTATAATTATTAGGATTTTTTTTTTCATTTTGAAATTTTCTGTAATTTACATTCAACTTGTCAATCAACCAGCTGCTTTATTTTAAGACCATGGCGCACACACGCTTATTGGCGCAGTACTGTTAGGATATTTAGATATTTTGAAAGTTTTTACATGTTTTAGCCATAATTACGAACTAGCCAGTGCGCAATGTATGCACCCTGATTTTAAATTTACTTTTATCTTAAATAAAAAATACTTAAAAAATACATACAAATAAAAACAAAAACATTTATTTTGAAATAACAAGTTGTCCTTTTAGATTTTTACAACTTTTTTGCTTACCAATTAGCATTTTTATTTTAGTTTACTTATAATTTTGCGTTATTTGATCTAATCTTAAATAATATATGTATATTAATTATAATTTATGTATGTATTTATGTCTATATGCATCATGTATGTGTCTATATTACTTGGTAATTTAAGTTGCTCACTTCGATTGGATTGGATTGTTTTATATATTTGATGTTCTCTTCTTTCTCTTCATTTTATATTATTAAATTTTTGCCAGCTGCCATACATTTTATACTTGTATAATGCATTTATGCTCTCACGCTGGCGTGGCGTTCTTTAGATGCAACAATTTTATTTTCAGCTCTGCAAAGGTTGGACGCTTGGAGGGATTTAAGTCCCACGCTTGACGCATCATCTCATAAATTTCGGCTGGACAACCCTCTGGCGCCTCCATTTTGTAGCCAACTTCAACGTGTTTCACGACGTCGTTAAGGGGCTGTTGGGAGAAGAAAATTTAAATACAATGATTATTTTAACTGATTTGAAAATAAAAAATATTTCCTTAGTGAAATTTACATAAAAACATAGATACATACACATGAACACATATGTATGTATATAGAAAAATCAGTAATTTCATGATTAAAACTTACTATGCGGGGATAAGGAACTCGACCAAATGAATAGATCTCCCATAACAAAATGCCAAAGCTCCACATATCCGATTTGTTGGAGAAACGCTGTAAAAATACAAACTAAACTTAAACACTGATACACAAATAGATACACGTATGTAATCGTAATATCTAGGTATTATGAATATTTCAAAATATAAATATAAATCAAATTTGTATAGTTCGAAAACGCTATAGCTTACTAAAACGAAAACAACATAATTAAAAAATAAATAATAAATAAACATAAACACAGCAAAGAGCATATGACGTTTTTGAAAAAACCGAATTAAAAAAATATTATGAACTATTAAAGTTTTACGGCTTATTTCAAGCAGTTTCCTTTTCTAGACAATAAATAGATCGATTATACATACACCATTCTTGAGCGCCTCAGGTGCAGTCCATTTAATGGGTAATTTACCAACATCCAGATTATAACATTCCTCACGCGCCAAACCGAAGTCGGACACTTTGGCAACACAATCTTCTGAGATTAGTACATTACGTGCGGCCAAATCGCGATGCACGACTTTTTTAGCTTCCAAATACTCCATACCGGAGGCGGTGTCGCTTTGAGAAAAATATTAAATAATTATTTAAGTTATATAACTCTAAAAATTGGAGAATAATAAAATATAATTATAAAAAAAAGTGTTCCATTTAACCAATCGTAATGAGTCCACGCACCGTATTGTTCTGTTATTTGCAGGTTGCTATAACAAATGTGCGACGGATATGGTTCTCAGATCAATAGGTTTCAGTGGAGGATATGCACAGAAGTAATTAATGACATAAGAAATAAAATTGGACACTTGCAATATGTGAATTTAGAGGTCAACGTGGTACAGTGGAAGTTTAGCCCCACAATACTTTATAGAAATACCAGGTTCTTGGAAAAAGACCAGCTCTTCTATGCAATAAGTGTTCCTTGTACATCCAAAAAGGGTTCTTTTAGGTAAGTGTTTGCAAAATCAAACGCTGCTGTAGTAAGTCCTAACCGGAGGAAAGTGTATCGTTATGTAAATTAGGTAGGATACATCAAGTAACCGGTTCGTAAAGATTCTGTGCGGAGAGAGTTTGCAAAACAGCGAAAACTGTAAGTGATGACTCAAGCTTTTAACAGTTCATTAAGGTCACATGCCATGACTTAAATAAGATTTGTTGTGGTTTTGTGAAGTATTAATTGACGATCTCTGGTATGTGCTATGCCTTTTGGCTAGTTTAAGTTCTAGGTATTATATTCATATACTGGAGAGAGATCATTCAAAATCACATGAAAATCCCAACTAACTCAATATTGTGTAAGTGGCTTTGCCTGCTACTCTAATACACTAATTATTACTACGTTTCTTCGGTAGGGAACGTCTGGTACAACTAGATTTTAATTAATCTTTAATACATGTTTTTCTTAAAGCATAAAAAATATACAAATTATATGCATACTCACTATGCAAAATTGATTTGATCCTTTTTCGTAATATGTTGCCGCCCACGTGAACGTAGGTAATCAACCAGCGAACCTTTGCTCATATACTCCGTCACTAAGTAGATGTGTTTGCTGGTAAACACCAAGCCAATAAATTTAACCAAATTCTCATGCTCCAAAGTGCTGTAGGGAGGAGACGAAGTGAAAGTGCGAGAGTATAAATATATTATATTTCTTTAATTTTTTATTTAAAAGCTTATTTTACTTACGTCATGACCGAGGCTTCCGCCAAGAATTTTTGCACAGCGCCCTCATCCTTTAGCATCTTAACAGCGACCTTTTCACTGCGCAGTATACCCAGCATCACATCGCCAAACTCACCCTTGCCGATACTTTCACGCAGCTGCAAATCAGCCTCCGGTATAACCCAACCCTTGTCGAGGAAATCTTTTGAGTTAATGCAGAATTCCTGTCTACCCTGTTTCGGCAAACATTTTATTAGTTGAGTACAAAGACCATCTGCATCTGCTTCATAATGCTGTAATGGTTTGTTATAGATAGAGGAAAATTATTAAAAATACTTTACTAATACTTTTTTCCGCTTCTCTTACCGCAACCAGTTGCCCCAAATTCTCAAAATATTCCTCATCGTCGATGGTTAATTTGTTGCCCAAGTACTTGACACGATAGTGCTCCACTTTACCCTGGAAGCAGACACATAGCGTATAGTCGCCAGGGAAGTTGGTTGATTCTCGCACTAAAAAGAGACCATCTTCGCGTGGCTGCAACAGGTGTTCGGCTTCGTCGCGTGTTATGCTGCCATGGAACCACCTGAAATGATATTGAGACAAATTGCAATTTATGGGTTAAAATGGGTTAAATGCCAAGTGCATTCAAGTTTCCTATATAAATTATACGTAAAAAATCATAAAAAAGGAAATTATCATAACTTTTGAACCGCAAAATATCCCAGTTTGCAGAAGATTGTTTTCTCAGTAAATATATTAATTTTCCCCCCTAGAAGGCACTAAGTAGGTAACCGGCTCCCTTAAACTACAGTACACCCGGCAATGAGAGAAATAAACTGTTTATTTTTCATTAGCAAAATTTGTACGTTTGTATAATGTCACAAAATATTTTTGCTAATACTTTACAATATATATGTTTTAATTACTGGAGCAAGCATAATTTTAAAAGAGTTCAGGTGCTAAGGCTGAGCAACACTTTCAAAAAGTCATGACTATTTTAATTTCCGTTTATAAAAAACCCACTTCTCCAATTTAATGAAATATTAGCTATTTTTATTGTTAAGATAGGAGCAATAAAATATATTAAATATGCTTACGCCGGCTTTGCTTCAAGAGCAAAAGATAAAAAAGATAAGCCGTTTGGTTTAAACAAGAAAGGGGACATTGGATTTATTTGTAAAAAAAAAATTAATTTTTACCACCATATCAAAAAAGCATAAATGTTTTTTTGCGCCCCACCGCTCACTTAAATTCGCAAAAAGATAATAAAACTCATCGATTGCACTAAATCTACTTACGGCATTGCGTTCAGTTTCACCTCGCACTTGCGTTGAGGCTGTAAATGGTGCTGATTGCCGCCGACCAAAGCGTTGGTGGGCGAATGCAACGATGTTGCGACGGCGACGTTGGTACTACTTGTCCATGAATTAGGCGCCGCACTGCCGCTATCGAAGCTGTGCAAAGATGTGGACATGCTGGTGCCAGTAATATTACTGTTGCCACTGGCGCCCACACCAACAACACTGCTACTACTGCCGCCGCCACCAGCAGTGTTGAGTGATATCGCCGATTGTGTTTGCTGTTGACTGCTTGAAAGCGATGTGGGCGCTTGAGTTTGATGCAACAGCATATTGCTGCTGTGTAGAGCGCTGCCAAGGCCAGCAACAATGCCGCCACTCTTCGGCGGCAGGCCTCGTTCATGCAATGATAGGGCGGCGCTGTGTTGCGCCGCATTCAGTGAGGACGACATCAGACTGTTGTTGTTGCTATTGCTGGCGGCATTTGCCAGTAGCTGCAGATGTTGCTGTTGTTGTTGTTGCGTAACGGCAGCCACAGCGGCAGCTGTCACGCCACCCGCAGGTGCACAATTGCCGGAAGTTGGCGTAAAGGTGGATAATATATGTGTATGTGTGTGCGGCGGTGCAGCTGACGCCTGCTGTGACTGCGTCTGATGATGATGTTGTTGCTGCTGCTGCTGCTGTTGTTGTTGATTGGGTGATTTTGGTGAATGATTGCTGCCAACCGCTGCCGATATTAAATTATGACTATTAAGTGCATGCGAGGACAAATGGATAGCGTTGTGGTGCTGATTCTGGAAAAAAAAAACAAACAAACAAGTTTTAGTAAAAAACACTCACGTGCCTAAGTACATATAATGACAGGCGTCGTTATTTATGCATAACAACTTGAAAACAATGTAACTTATTTCCCTTTTGTTGTTTTTGTAATACCTACCACGTTATTGTGATGATGCGGCGGTATATTTGGCGGTACAATGTGGGGCTGCGACTGACTCAACTGCTGCTGATGCAATAGACTGACACCTACGCTGCCAGCATTCGCTAAGCCGGCACTCCCCGCCGCACCTACACCACCGCCACTCACACCACCGAGACCACCACCACCACCACCACCATGATTTGGCTGCGGTGCGGGGCGTTTATTGTGTCTCAAAGGCGCTGTGGGCGGCATTTGATGCCCGGTGGACTGTAAAAACCATGGATCGCCTGCTGAATTCGCCGCCACTGTCACGGATGGTTGTGAGAAGCCGCGATGATGTCCAACCACTGTTGTCTGTCCGTTATGCTGAGTCGCGGTGGCGTGACTGTTCATCACTTTGTTGTTTTCACTCGCTCCCGGCGAGACTATGGACGCAGACGGCGACGCCGGCGTGTTAGCCGTTAACGTCGCTGGCGTTGGCGTTGTACCAGTTGTTGTTTGTGTATGTAAACTGGATGTGTTCGCTGCGTGGGTTGAGGCGCCTGACGCTGCAGTTGCGCTGCTGCAGTTGTTGCGGCAACTACTGGTGCAGTGATGCCGGTTCGTACCAATAAATGGTTTGTTATCGTTAATGCGGTTTTTGCTGCTGCTGCTGCTGCTGCTGTTGTTTTTATTGTTGTTGCTATTAACACCACCACTACTCAGTTGTGGTCGCTGTTTATGCTGCTCCTGTTTAATTTGAGGTGTGTTTGGCTTTTGCAGAGTTGCTGAGGTTACTTTGGTTGTTGGTATTGCTGGCGTTAAAATTGGTGTTGCGGTATTTGTGGCAGTCGCTGTTGTTTCGTTTGTGCTACGGCGGGAGATTAAAGCTGCTGCAGCAGGCGATTGTTTCTCTTCTATCTGCTGCTTTTGCTCACCACTCGAGCGCTGAGGCTGTAGATTCTCCTTCAAAATTAAGGCTTCTTCGTCTGAAAAGAGAAAAGAAATAAATTTAATGAAGTCTATAGAAAGCATTAGTACAAATTTAAACAAATTTAGTCGACTACTTAGTATACATTATGTGGGTTTATTGAAGTTGCTAAACAGTTTAGCGTAAATATGTATTTCCTCACCTCTTGCCAGCTAAAAGGGCATTGAGAAATCGTTCGAGCATTTTTGTGTTTACTCATTTCAATCGCTCGAAAGCTTTCGAATGAAATTATATACAAATAATTCGCCATAAAACGCTAACATATGTACACATAAACACACATAAACGAAAATAGTGATGCAAATAAACCGCACGCCCGTCTGTTGTCGTTTTTCTCACTCACGCGACAGCTCCAAATGACAAACAGCAGCGAATCGGGAGCTGCGCAATAGCAATGTGATAATAAAATTTCAAGTTCAAATGCGAATTCTTTGCTCTTTTGTTACGCTGTTGCTATTATTTTCTTTTTATTTCCAACCTTTCATTTATGGAGGTAGGTAGTAGTTATATACATACATACATACATATGTACATATATACAAAGTATCAATTTGATTCACATTTTTAAATTAATTCAAATTAATGCGGTAGTTGAAATTCTATTTGCGTTGTTGATTAGCTGAAAGCGTAATGTGCTTAATGGATTGACTATCATGCGGTCAGTGGGGCGGATTGTCTAATTCTGCGCAGGGCGGGTTGGGCTAGAGGTCTGACTAGAGAAATGAAGAGTAAAACAGGAATAGAAGCGCGCAGAAAAAATATTAAAACTTTTAAAGGCATCATTGTTTACTTATAAATTCGCTAAAATTCCTTAAGCCCCGGAGGCCTCAATGTCTATTACATTTTTTCTAAAAAACGAGCGCAACCAAGCCCTTTTTTCCAAAACCAACAACAACTTTTGCTCCTGCGTTTGCCCTTGTATTGTATAATGCTTGTATTAAGTAAGAAATCGTCGCTCAACATACTCGTAGTTTCATATTTTTTACGAAAATCAGAACCAGCTCGAGAACTCAAACACGACAAAATGAGTTTACGATGTTTGTGTGTGTATCCAAAAAAAAAAGTTATTTGGTGATGCATGGAAAATTTTCCTTAGGCAGCTCTCAAATTGCTTTTTCTAAAATTTTGAAATTCCTCATCCAAGTAAAAAGGATGGTTTTAGGACATGTGGTTTTCAATTAGGCAATACTTTTTCGGAGTTAGTCTTTTTGGCAGCTGTTACTTGGTTTTTACTGAGTTTGGTTTCCCATTTCATAATGAACAGACTACGGAACAACGTTTGCAAATATTGCAATTTTACTACCAAAATTACCAAAATAATGGTTCGGTTCGTGCGAAGTATCACGTGCTGCGTTGAGTATTCTGTCGACGTAATCGCCCAGCAGAGTCGGTAAGGTATATTACGCATCCTCAGAGGCGCCTTACGGTGCGTATCAAAGACGGTATTACTGCTGTGATAGCAGAGTATCCAAGAAGAACCCAATAAGACAATGCCGCGCAACTATTGGAGCTGTGCCCATTCATTTTATGGACGATTTTACGGAAGGATTTTGGTTCGTGACCTTACAAAGTTGAAGTTGAACGATCTTCAAACGCGTCGTATGTTCGGTAGATGGGCCCAAAACTAGGTGGTTGGTCACCGATCCCGATTTTTACAAGAAAATTTTATTCAGCGTTGAAGATTGGTTGAATGGGTACGTAAATAAACAAAATTGTCACATTTCGGATGATGATAATGTGAACGACGCTGTTACAATCTCAAAACGCCACTGTCTGGTGCGCTCTATGGGTTGCGCAGCCAACGAAGCAATCAAATTATTGAAGGAAACGTTTGGTGGGCCCAATACCTCGTGTCGTGGGACCGTGGCATGACTGAAATAATTCTTAAAACATTATGGCGAATTCTAAAATGAACCGAAATTCTTGGCAAAAATATTAAATTATATGCGTTTTATTTCTTCTTGAAAACCACATGTCTAAAAAACACCCTTTACTCGTATATCTGAAATGTATTGCTCAAAATAAGCGGCAGCTGAAAAAGTTCTAGAAAACCCTAGAGAACATGCTGGATTTTAATCTTCTTCTTATTTACTGGCGTAGGCACCGCTCACGCGATTAGAGTCGAGTTAACAACATTCAAATCTTCTTTCCGCTGTTTGGTTCCCAGTGGAAATACTGAGTACAGCCAGACATTGATAGCGCTTAGAAAATTGTGTTCGTCCTAGCCAATGAGGACGTGTAAAAAACTCTCAATTTCGGTGTCATATTATTGCCTTTGACTATGACGATTTTCGAATTTATAATATTTCAAATTTTGATTGAGTGTTTATGCGAATATTTTTGAAAATTAGTTTTTTCGCAACCCAATACAATTGGTTTTTGAATCATATTTATGATGAAACTATATCCTAATATGCGATATGAAGTTGTTAATCCTCATGGATAATGAAAAAGTCTTAGTTGTTTTAGTTTTATGTTTTGGAACGAAAGTTAATTAGCGAAAATTATTTTTAATCAGGTTTGTTATCCATCCCGAGCAATTATGACTCATATTTCCTTAAGACATTGGCAGAATAATTCATGTAAAGCCAAGGCACGTACTTAAATAAGCAACAAAACACTTAACATTTATAACACTTATGAGCAACAACAATTTCATGAAATGCATGCTAACTCAAGTAATTATGACAAATAATAAAGCTTAATAAAAGAAGAAGATGCAATCTCTGCAAAGTGCACAAGAGCACAAGCCATGCCGTTCAAATATACATACATACTCGTATATTATGTATACGAGTACATGGATTGTACTTGTCTTGCTTTCTGGCGCACACTCATCATCATGTATTTATCTTGCTAATTTGTTCGAGCGCATGCGTCCAGTGTGAGAAGCCAAGGTCAACAATGCTGACAATTCTCAAGTGATTAATTGCATTTAATGCACAGGCACCGGCAGAGGCACAGGCGGATGAATAAGCGCCAACCAATGAGATAAGCAAGCAGTGCAGTGCGTGCATACGATTATACACACAAATTTATTTATTTTTTTTATATTTACTTTTCACTTTTCTTGCAGCAGAACGCATAGCTCACTAAGTGATGAGAACATGGCGGCTTATATTGAGCATGACTTAAGAGACTTTTAGACTAACAAATATCAAAAACAAATCAGAAACCATTAAAAAAGATAATTTCTAAGTCGTTAAGTAAACTTATACGCCACTTGCTCAACCTCAACCTCATAGACATTTTTAGTTCTCAGGTGAACTGAGCAACATTATTGATTTTACAAAGTCGTCCACTGGCAAGACTAATGTTTAGGAGAAGGGTTTGAAAATCGGGGTCAAGAGGAAAAATATGTATATTTGGATTTCTAAAAACCGTCCTTATATTATTCTCTTAATTATATCTATTATGTACATGAAATTCTATATTAAATTTGGTAAGGGGTATGTAATTATCAGAAGATGAAGCGCAAGACCCATCGGGTCAGAATGGTGGGTTGAGTTGATTCAGCTTTATCCGTATGTTTGTACCTAAACTCGTCTCTGGGTTTTTGAGATATTTCAACTGAACTTGGTACACAGTTGGCACTGGCGCGTTCTGATCACTATAGCATATAGACGAACGGGTTTTCAGATTTCTGGGTCAAATTTGGTATTCTACACCTTCATAATGAATTACACGTTGGTACTGAAAATTATCGATATCGAACGACATATAAATAGATCTCATACACCGAAAAAAAATTTGAAAAACATCTAATTCAAATGGTATTTCGATTATTTAAATAATTGTATAATATATACCAAACTCTAAGATCTCTTTAAGATTCAGGTGCTTAGATGAACTGCAGAGCAGACAAACTTACGATCAAGTAGACTAGTATTGATGTGTCTTTCGCCACATGAGGTTAGAACCAAAGCTTGACCTGTCACAAATCGACACAAACTTAGATAGCACATGTACATTATTGGGACTTTGTAATCGCTAACTTGTGCCCATGACCTTCTACATGGTGGTATGCATTGCTATTCACTCGACTATTGCAGCCGCCTCAGTTGATATAGAGAAAGATGAAAATTTCAAATGTAACTTGTATTCTGATGGGACAGTATCCGATAGAATGGAATAATCTTCTATTTGCTATGTAATGGCTCCGATCTAAACGGAAGAAGACATCCAATATTTAGAGTTCCATCCACAAAAGCCCTTTACCGCAAGGCAGAAATCAAATTTATTAGAGTCCAAGTGTTCGAAAAAGAAAGCACACTTCAGTCTAGCATAAGCTAACTTCCTTGTAATCAGTTAGTTTAAAAACCGTTGACCGAATGTCAATCAGTTTTCCATTTAGAACAATGTGTACATACATATGTATGTATACCTCAATCCACTTAAAGCCAACATTTTTTCTTTAGTAGTATGATATTACTCAACAAATTTCAATACGAATAGTGGGGAGCGTCAGAAAACTTGGGAAAAATCTACAAATATTCTCACCGTTTGCTTTATTTATTTCTATAAAATGTTTAAGCTTCCTCTTCCGCTTCTCTCTCTAATAAAATACATAAATTAACTCATTACTCCGTTCATTCGCAGAATGTGGTAGTAAAAACACAAATATTGTATATACCTACATATGTAGAGAAAAGTAAGAGAATTGTAAGTTCAAAAAAGAAACCAAGAAAGAAGAACTGTAGTTTTTGTAGACGGAAAAGTAGTCCCTAAAGTGGTTTTTGCGCAATGTTGCGAGAGTGACCGGATAAAAATCACTGTCGTTGTCACTTGTGCTCCAACTTGCAGCGACACTGTGGTCTTTGGCAAAGTTAGGAAAGAACGACAATGAAAAGCAGGAGCAGCACCAAGTACCGTATTCCAGGCATTATTGGTTGTAAAATCTATTGCTCATGACATACATTTTTATTAAATTTCCGCTTGGAAAGAAGTTAGCACACAATTCTGTCAACGACTAATTGATCGGTTGAATTCTGACATTTA